TGTAAAGCAGAGAAGACTCAGAGAGAGCCCCAGGGAGGGTATCTGGGACACATATGGATTCCCACCAGGAGAGTTTTTCTAAGTCATAGTTATTCCAAGGTGGGGGATAGGTAGCTTTGGGGGGCGGTAAACTTCCTGACCGCAGGGCATTCTAGCCTCTAGCCAGGCCGAGAGATTGACAGGGATAAATGGATTTCCTAGTTCCTTAGTTCCTCTAAGGTCCTGTCTAATCCTAGATGCTAAGAGTCTGGTATGTAAATTGTATGCAAACATTTTCCTGGCTCTTCCGGGCAGGTGTGGTGGCTCATGTCTGTCATCTCAATACTTTGGGAGGCCAAGGCCAGCAGAGCACTTGAGCTGAGGAGTTCAAAACCAGTCTGGGCAACATACTGAAACGCTGTCTCTACAAAAAAATACAAAAATTAGCCAGGCGTGGTGATATATACCTGGTCCCAGCTACTTGGGAGGCTAAGGCAGGAGACTCGCTTGAACCCAGGAGGCGGAGGATGCAGTGAGCCGAGATTGTGCTACTGCACTCCAGCCTGGGTGACAGAATGAGACTCTGTCTCAAAAAAAAAAAAAAAAAAAAAAAAAAAATCTTTAAGCATTGCCCCTTTTACTGGCTCTTGGCTACCAGGGCCCAGGTCCTGGCTCCTCTCTCTCCCAGACCCCCTGCCCAGGGCTGGGCACACAGTAGGTCAGTGAGTAGGGCCCCCAGCACCACCTAGAGGAGAGGAAACACATGCCCCGGGAGGCAGGGCCTGCTTATTTCTGCTCTAGCCCAGAGTGTCTGTAGAGCCACTGCTGGGCACCAGAGCAGGCGAGAGCTGAAGACTGACAGGTTGTTTCCTGAATGATGGGACATGCAAGGGGAGTCAGCTTAGTGGCTTCTCCTCATGGCCTTGTGCTGTCTCTGTCCTCCAAAGCGGGTGGTTGCGTGTCCTGGCACCGATTATGTAACTTGTTGCTTCCAAATGTGGGGCTACCCTACGGCTTGGGGTGACAGGTTGCCCATCTGGTTTTTCTAAGCCCTACCCATCAAGTGGTGCAGCCCTGGGCTGAGGTTGGTCCCATGGTGTTCTCCCATGGCTTGGGCGTCCCAGACAGTGCCCTGACTTGGAATCGGTTCACTCAACTGTGACCTTTGCAGTCCCTTCTGCGGAGGGTACTCTGACCAGCGCCTGTGTCTCAAGTTTCATCTATTTCAGGGCCTCAACACAGCTGGGCTCACTGATGGGATGGTTATTTTGGAGCCGCTGGCTGCCTGCAGCTGCTCCTGACCCTGAGGGTTGGAGGGGGAGAGAAGACAGACTTGGGCTGGGCACTGTTCTGTTTTTAGCTGTTTCCCAGCGGCTTCCATCCCTCCCCTCCCAACTAGCAAGATTCCAAGCAAGGCTAAAGGGATCTTCTTTCTACCCTCTTCTTCTCTTTGTACATCCTCTGCTGTTTCTCCTTCCTCTCTTCCTTATCCTCTCACCTCTGTGTTTTAGCTGCTGTTTCGTGGACTTCAGTGATTTCATTCACTGAATATTTCCTGGGTGCCCATCATGACTCATGTGGAGTCCTGCATTCAGGTTCAAAAAGCCCATGGTCTGAGGACAGGTGGACCTGACTTTTAGTTGAGACTGTGCTCAACCCAAGCAAATACTAATATCTGAAGCGATCAGGTAGCTTCTGGGTGCTGGGAGTGGTCCCACTTTACCTCTGATCTTTCCAACAACAACTCAAGGCAGGTATTATTACCGCTGTTCTCTAGGTGAGCAATTTGAGGCTGGAATGAAGGTTGCTTACCCAGCCAGCCAAGTGCAGAGTCAGACATTTAAACCCAGGCCTGATCCAGACCTGGATCACCCTAAAGCCCATGCACTTTCTTCTGAATCATGTGGCATTTCGCATGCCAATAACAATGGCTCATATTAACCTAATGACTATGCTGGGTCTCCTATTAGGTGCCTTGTGTACCTGACTCCTTTTCATCCTCACAGCTTCTCTTTTAAGGCGATTATTAGATACAGATTTTATGTAAATCAGTAGATGTTGATTTCACTGCCAAAGAGGCCTCAAGAAGTTCAGCTATTTTTCCAGCCATATAGCCTTGTCATACAGGAAATAGCAGAGCCAGGGTTTAACCCTAGGCTGACGACTTCAAATTCATTGCACTTAACTGTGCTCCTGTCCTGCCTACTAGTATATGAGTGTTGGTTACGGAAAAAAACCTAATGTACTTTTAGGTTGCATTATTAGAAGTATAGCATACATACCAAGGGAGGTGATGGCCACACTGTGCCTTGAGCCAGTTGGTGCACATCTAGAGTACTGAGTTTGGTTCTGTTAATTGTCTAAGAGGTTGGAAGGTATGTGGGGAGTCTGAGAATTCCCTGAGAATTGTCTTCAGTACTGGGCTGATAGGCAGCCCAGGAGGTAGTGGGTTAGATATAGGAAGATACATTTTGGTTTGAGAGAAGGGAATACTCTTTTAAAGACAGATGAACTCCACAGTGGAACAGGTTGGCTGGGAGTTAGTGAGCACCTGGTAGTGTGCATGTGTAAGTAGATGAGGACTCCTGAAAGGGCAGAGAGACCAGGATAGCTTGCATCCAGCTCCATTCAGAGCTCTGTTCTGAGGGTCTGCCCAGTGCCAGGAGCTCTGGACTGATTGTGTGGGGCCCTGTGACAATTGTGTTCCTGGAGGCTCTGGCTGGGTATCTCTGAGTGACTTGATTCCTCTTCTCCCTACTGTTACTGCCCCTTCCCCTCTGTCTTCCACCCTCTGGAGTTCCCAAGGGCCAGTCCCTGGACTCCCGGAGGGGTGAGGGAGCAGGGACCATTCCCCAGGGTCCAGACTGGCCCACAGGCCTTCCTCAGCTCTGCACCATTTGTCTCTCCCACCTCCCCTCTGCACAGGCTTTCCTGGACTCTGCCTCTGCAGCCCCCCAGCCTCTCTGCACCATCACTGTCACAGAGTCAATTCCCTGGAATAATCACATTTTCTGGCCAGCTCCCTCCTCCTCGCTAACATGATTCCTGGAAACCCCAATCAGCCAGGCCCCAGGAGGCTTCTCCAGAGCTTCAGGAGACTTGAGGGGAAGGGCCCACACCCAGAGCCTTCTGGGGGCCAGACAACACAGTTCCTGGAAGGGGCAGCGAAAGGGCAAAAGAAAAGAGGGAGGTTTAGCGACCATGTCTATGTTTAGCTGGAGTTGAATTCTGGCATCTGCTGTCCCTACCAGACCAATCCCCCAAGCTTTGCTATCATACCTGAGAACCCCAGCCATCCTTAACCCAGTTCCTGAAGAGAAAGCACAGATTCTCCCTTGGAGAGGTTGAGAAAAGGCTGGAAGGAAGGGAGGGTGTGGCTTATCATGGCACCAGACAAATTTGGAGAGACTGACTCACACAGAAGGGCTTCAATACAAGGAGGGTCTGGAAGTGAAGAATGTGGCATTGGGAGTTAGACAGACCTTTTCTCAATCCTGGATCTGCCACTTGGTGGCTGTCATAACACCTCTGAGCTTTATCTGTAAAACGGGAGCACTTCTACGGGCTGCTGTAAGGATGAATTGCAGGGGTAATTCATGAAACACAGTGATTACTTTTAGTGTAAGTTATAGGACTCCATAAAGCAGAACATAACACAGCCATTAGAAGAATATGGTATTGGAAACAGTTATTGGCATGGAGAGGTGTTCAGGATATAGCAAGTGAAAAAAGCTACCATGTTCTTAGCCTGGAGTCCATGCCCATGGATGGCTTCATGTAGTTCATGCATGCTGAGAAATTCTCCACAGAATTTAGTGAGAATGTGCATTTTTTTGGGGAGATGGGTCAATGTCATAATTACATTTTCAAAGTGATGTATTACATATAAAAGGTTAAAAACAGGTCATGTGTGATGTGTATATGGCATGACACAATTTTTGCATTAAAAAAGGAACCAACTGGGTGTGCTGGCTCACACCACTAATCATAGCACTTTGGGAGGCTGAGGCAGGAGGATCGCTTGAGCCTAGGCGTTGGAGATTAGCTGGGCAACATGGAGAAATCCCATCTCTACCAGAAAAAAAAAAAAATACAAAAATTAGCTGGGTGTCCTGGTGCATCCCAGCTACTTGGGAGGCTGCGCTGAGAGGATGGCTCGAACCTGGGAGGCAGAGGTTGCAGTGAGCTGAGCTATCACCACTGCACTCCAGCCTGGGCCACACAGCAAGACCCTGTCTCAAAAATTATCACCAAAATTATCCAAAAATACCACCTTTAAAAAGGCTGAAAGGTCATACATCCAAATATTAAAAATGCTTTTCTCTCTGGGTGGTGGGCTTACAGGCGATTATTTTTTCTTTTTGCTGAACTGAATTTTCTACAAAATACCGTTTCCTATTTTCTATAACATGTATGTTTTAAAAAAGAACGAGTTTGATTCCCTGTTAAGCCACTTTCAAAAGGATATCTTGGATAGATGTATGTACTTCTCCCAGCCTGTGTCCTAACGTGGCAATGGTAGCCTTAAACGGTGATTGCTAAGGTTAGATGAGACAATGTAAACAGAGGGGGTGTGTGTGTGTGTGTGTTTGCGGAGGTGAGGTGTTAGGCCTTCATCAGTGCACTCGACAGACGGTTACTGTTTGTCAACGGAGTGCTCGGTGGTAGGCATAAGACGGAGGGAGCCCAGGAGTTAAATTTTTGAAAATTTAAATTATAAGTAATACACGTTTACTGTAGAAGATGAGGAGTATACACCTATGCATAAAGCAAGTTGGAAGTACCCACATGTTTTAAGTTTCGGTGCTTCCCCCACCAATTCCTCTGTTTAAACAGTTAGATGTCCCGCACGAGCCTTTCCTTGACTGTGCCTGCTAATGTAAGTCACGAGCATCGTGTACTCCATTAGCCATCCGAGATTGTAACGGTGCGCAGGTGCGCGCGGAGAGTCGGGGCAGCGGGGCGCGCAGGCGCCACTGCCCGGGATCCCTGCGTGACACCGCCCCGTGTCTCCCGTGCAGACAGCGAGCTGGTGCTCCCGGACTGCCTGCGGCCGCGCTCCTTCACCGCCCTGCGGCGGCCGTCGTTGCGGCGCGAGGCGGACGACGCGCGCCTTTCGGTGAGCCTGTGCGACCTCAACGTGCCGGTCGCCGACGGCGACGAGGCCGCGCCTGCCGCCGGCTGTCCCATCCCGCAGAACTCGCTCAACTCGCAGCACAGCCGCGCACTACCCGCGCAGCTCGACGGCGACCTGCGCCTCCACGCCCTGCGCGCCGGCGCGCACGTCCGCATCCTCGACGAGCAGACGGTGGCGCGCGTGGAGCACGGGCGCGACGAGCGCGCGCTCGTCTTCACCAGCCGGCCCGTGCGCGTGGCCGAGACCATCTTCGTCAAGGTCACGCGCTCGGGCGGCGCGCGGCCCGGCGCGCTGTCGTTCGGCGTCACCACGTGCGACCCCGGCACGCTGCGGCCGGCGGACCTGCCCTTCAGCCCCGAGGCCCTGGTGGACCGCAAGGAGTTCTGGGCCGTGTGCCGCGTGCCCGGGCCCCTGCACAGCGGCGACATCCTGGGCCTGGTGGTCAACGCCGACGGCGAGCTGCACCTCAGCCACAACGGCTTGGCCGCCGGCATGCAGCTGTGCGTGGACGCCTCGCAGCCGCTCTGGATGCTCTTTGGCCTGCACGGGGCCATCACGCAGATCCGCATCCTCGGTGAGTGCCCGCAGCCGCGCCTGGGCGTGTGCCTTTCTTGGATGGGGGGACGATCCGGGTAGGGGACAGAGGGTGAGCTCCCTTCCCCCCCAGGCTTATGATGGTGTTGCTAAGGAATCACGGACACCTAAGGGGAGTTCTGGGCGGGACTCGGTCATCTAGTCAGTAACCCTCAAATGTCACCTGGGAGACTCACCTTGGGCGGGGAGGTGGGGGGAAGCGCGGATTATTGAGTTTGATGGCCAGAATCGGATCGACCCATAGTCCCACAGACACATAAACAGTCCAGAAGCACACAACCCAGTGACCGCTGAAAAATGAGAGGAAAAAAGGTTTCCCCCAGCAGTTAACTTTTCTGAGTCTTGGTTACCATTTCTCCAAAATGGAAATAAAAGTCCCCATCTTTAAGGAAGTTTGTGAGTCCAGATGAGAAAAAGAGGCTGGAATGTCAGTAGTAAGGTGGTGCAGGGTGGTGTCTAGTTGGGGGACTCTGGGGAATCCCTGAGTGGGCAGCCTTGGGGGAAGTGGGATTGCAGAGTTCTGGGCCTGCCTTTTCTGGAGGACACAGGGTTTGAAAGGCCTGGGGGTTGTGCACTGAATTAAGAAAAGAAGGGAGGAAGATTCTTTATTGCAAGACTTGTCAGAGCCTTTAATATGCCGTGTGATTAAGGAGAGGGTGATGGCGGTTTTGGTGTACAGTTTTTCCAAACTAATTTGACCAGAAATCTTTTCACAAAGTGTCTCTTGGTACTTGTGTACCCCAGAGTGAGCAGGTGTTCATGCTTTCAAAGTGCTGGTCTTTGAACCAGCTCTGTGAGATTGAGATAGTTTCATTAGACTCACCTGGAGGACCTATTAAAGTGCAGATTAGCTGGGTTTCATTAGACTCACCTGGAGGACCTATTAAAGTGCAGATTAGCTGGGTTTCATTAGACTCACGTGGAGGACCTATTAAAGTGCAGATTCAGCTGGGTTTCTTTAGACTCACCTGGTGGACCTATTAAAGGTAGATCACCCGAGGTCAGGAGTTTGAGACTGGCCTGGCCAACATGGTAAAACCCTGTCTCTGCTAAAAATACAAAAATTAGCTGGGCGTGGTGGTGCGTGCCTGTAATCCCAGTTACTTGGGAGGCTGAAGCAGGAGAATTTCTTGAACCCAAGTGATGGAGGTTGCAAAGTGAGCCAAGATGATGCCAGTGCACTCCAGCCAGGGCAACAAGAGCTAAACTCCATCTCAAAAAAAAAAAAAAAAAAAAAAAAGTGCAGATTCGTGGATCCCACCTTCAGAGATTTTAATTCTGTAGATCTTGGACAGGTTCTGGACATCTGAATTTTTTTTCTTTAGCAAATATGCTTACCCAAGTTTGGAGACCCCTGGGCTTCACAGCCTCTAGCCTAGACCTCAGCCCAGGAAGTAGATAGATGAGATGATGTGTGTAGATGAATGAGCATGAGGCACTGTATGAGATTGGCATACTGGGTATAGGCACATGTGAATAAATGCACATATGTTAATGTATGTAATGCTGTTGGTTTGTGAGAGCATGCAAAATCAGATAGAAAACACTGGGGACCTCCAACTCTGGAAAGAGACCAAATAAAGATAGAGTGAAACATAAAAAAGGAATGAAAAAGACTGGGGGGAGTCAAGGCAGCCCAGAGGAAGGAGTTTGAGGACATGGTGGCTCGTGTCTGTAATCCCAGCACTTTGGGAAGCTAAGGCAGATGGATTGCTTGAGGCCAGCAGTTCAAGACCAGTCTGGCCAACATGGCAAATCCCCATTTCTACTAAAATNAAAAAAAAAAAAAAAAAAAAAAAAAAGCTGGGTGTGGTGGTGCACGCCTGTAAGCCCAGTTACTTGTACTTGGGTGGCTGTCACAGGAGGATCACTTGAACCTGACAGGCAGTGAGCTGAGATGGCGCCACTGCATTCCAGCTTGGGCAACGGTGAGATTCCAGCTTGGGCAACAGTGAGACTCTGTCTCAGAAAAAGAAAGAAAAAAGAGAGAGAATCAGCAAGGAGGCAGGCAGATGAATCAGGATTGGGTGAGGAATCAGGATTAGATGAGAATTCAGGATGGATAAAAAGAAATTGGGCTGGGATGGAAAAAAAAAAAAAAAAGTCAAGCTGATTTCACTGACCAGGAGATACTACATCTCAGAGAAAGGAAATTACATAAGAGTAAGGAGGTACTCTGTTCCCTCAGCACCATCTAATAATAGCTAAGCAGCTTTCCAGTAAGGCTTCTATTGCCCAAAGAGGCTTACTAGACTGGAGCAAAGGGGAGGCTTAAAAAAAATCCAGATTTATCTCTTTCAAGAGGGAGATAGGCCAGGGTGGGTGTTGAAGAAGAACCACCCAGAATTCAATATACATTCAACAGAGTGCTCCTGATCTGTTTGGAAAATTGGGCATCTCAAGCAGCAAATTGGTGTTTGAAGATCCTGACTGACTTCAAAGGAATAAGAAACCAGTGAGAACATATGAAGGGTCATTATTAACCTTGTAGAGGAATGCTTGGCTTTGTGGCTAGCCTAAGTAAACTAACAATAGAAGGTTATTTCCTTCACACATGTGTGTCACAAAACGTACAGCCAGCTCCATACTTATTGGTGAAACATTGCAAATATTTCTCATGAAATCAGGAATATAATAGAGATGGTTTATAGACATTGTTCTGAAAACGCTGGCCAATGCAGCAAGGCAAGAAAAGTAAATAGGTGTGAACTCCTGAAAGGAGATGATTAACTTGGAAAAACAACACAGGAAGAGATACCTTCGGGCATCTTTTGAATATTCTTAGACTTAATAACACCACTAAATGAATTAGAATTAACAGCTGCTGATAAAGATCTCATTGGGCACTTAGGTTTGTGCAGGGCATTATGTTAGGGTTTATGAGAGAGTCACAGGTGAATAAGATTTCCTGTTCTAAGCAGGCTTCATGGTTTTACTGTAGAAACAAAGCTGGAGTCCTGGGCACAGAACAAATAATATCCCAGCTTTGTGGTTGTGTAGCTGTGTGTCTGTAGTGTGTGTGTGTGTACACGTGTACTTGAGGGAGTAATGTGGTCTGGGGGGAGTCAAGGTGGCCCAGAGGAAGGAGTTTGAGGACAGCTCCCAAAGGCTCCCTGGACAGTCAGCTCTTTGAAGGCAGGGGGCTGTCTCCAGCTTTCTGTCTGCACAGGGCCTGGTACCTCGTAGGCCCTTGGTAAGGATTTATTGAAGTGAGGAGAGAAGGAAGGAGGGAAAGAGGAAGGGAGGATTGTTAAAAAGGAGAGGAAGGCTGGGTGCAGTGGCTCACGCCTGTAATCCCAGCACTCTCGGAGGCTGAGGCAGGTGGACTGCCTGAGCTCAGGAGTTCGAGACCAGCCTCAGCAACAGAGCAAGATTCTGCCTTAAAAAAAAAAAAAAAAAAAAAAAAAAAAAAAAAAAACAAAAAAAAAAAAAAAAAAAAAAAAAAAAAAAATGACGGAAAGAAGGAGGGAAGGAAAGAATCTAGGATCAGAACAAGGCAGGAGAGGGTGAAGGCATTTTACAGAGCTGCCGTGCAGAGAAGGTGGGTGATATCTGGGGACAGTGGTGAAGAGCGCAGGGCTCTGAACAGGAGGCTGAGGCTGTGGGGGAGTGAGATGGTAACTTGCATGCCCAGGAAACTTTGCAGAAAGGATGTATGGGAAGGGGTGGAGGTTCATGTCAGGCAGGGGCCTAGTTTGGAGCAGCTGGTATAACAAGAGGCAAGCAAGATGTGGCCCTCTAGTTTGTAGGTGAGAACAGAGGCCAGGCAGCAAAATCCTGCCTTCCGCCCTGTGGCTGGGCTGTGTGGTCAGGCCTGGGAACCCACTGTGAGGGATGGAGCTTTCTCCAGTTTGGCCCTGGCAGGTGGCTAGCATATCCTTCCCTCCCTCCCCTTTCACAGGCTCCACCATCCTGGCAGAGCGGGGTATCCCATCACTCCCCTGCTCCCCCGCCTCCACGCCAACCTCGCCCAGTGCCCTGGGCAGCCGCCTCTCTGACCCCTTGCTCAGCACGTGCAGCTCTGGCCCTCTGGGTAGCTCTGCTGGTGGTAAGTAGGCCAGCCCCTCTGTTCCATGGTGGACGGTGTGGGACTGTGGCAAGGATGCAGCCTCTGTGTCTGGGCTGGGAGTGAAGAGTAGCTGGAGCCGGAGCTGGGCTCAGTGAACCCTTGTTGGGGGTGATTTCTGGGGTCATCCCCTCCTGTCTTCTAGCTGGGCAGTGCCAAAGGGTAGCTCAGGAGGGACCTGCCTTAAAAGATTTTGGATCCTTTCTTTCATCCATCTTTTCTCTCACTGCCTGCTAGCCTCTCTGTCCCCTTGTCTGGGGGTAGAGTGGGTCAGAAGTGGGGCTGCTCAGAGCTCAGCCTTTTCCATTGTGCCCTGGCAGTTGGGTTGTTAGGGTGAACAGGCAGACCCTGATAAGTGGAAGGGGACACCAGAGGCCGGGGGCTCTCTTCCCATGAATCCAACGCCGGGCTGGGCCATGTCTCCTCCTGACTGGTGCCCCCTTGTCCTCAGGGACAGCCCCCAACTCACCAGTGAGCCTGCCTGAGTCACCAGTGACCCCAGGTCTGGGCCAGTGGAGCGATGAGTGCACCATTTGCTATGAACACGCGGTGGACACGGTCATCTACACATGTGGCCACATGTGCCTCTGCTATACCTGTGGCCTGCGCCTCAAGAAGGCTCTGCACGCCTGCTGCCCCATCTGCCGCCGCCCCATCAAGGACATCATCAAGACCTACCGCAGCTCCTAGCCCATTGCGGTGGGCCACCCCGCACGCCCACCTCCTCGGGCTTCTGCCCAGCCCCAGCTGAGGAACAAGCCAGTGGGGCCCCTTCTCTTCCTCATTTTGGAAACTTTTCCTCCTCCATTAAACATGGGAAACTGAGGCCCCTGAAAGTTTGGGGAGGGGGGGTATCAGGCAGGGAGGGGCAGAGGCAAATCACCGATGGAGAGGGGAGGGGACAAGGCCACACTCTCACTGTCTCTCCCTTCTCTGCATCCAGCTCTTCTCTGCATGCTGAGGGCTGAATTGGGATCTCAGCCTGCCCGAATCCTTCCCCATCTGGGACAGGTTTCTAGGAGGTCGCTGTAGTCCGTGTGGCACCTTTGTGAAAATCAGAAAACGGGGACCTTCCTGTGGGCTGCTGCAGCCCTGAGCCGGGGCATGTGGCCTGGCTGGTGCAGTGTGGACTGGATTTTAGGCTCATTTGCTCCTTTAGCCAACTTGAGTGGTCTGCAACCTGCTCAACCTCTGGAGCTGTTGTCCCCCTCTGACCTCTGCCTGCCTTCTCGTTCCTCATTCCCTGCCCACTGGGCATGGCAGCTGGGGGTGAGAGGCTGGTGGGTGCCTCTTATCCTGGGCAGGCTGACGCCATGTCTCTCCCACTAGTCGATGGGCACATGAACAGGCTGCAGAGGGCTCCAGGTTCTAGGCTCCTGGCTGAGAAGGGAGGACCCCGGCCTGGCCGTAACCTTCCTTGCCCCCTCGTCTTGTTGGATGCCGTTGCCCAGGGGTAGCCCTTCGGTATGGGCTGGGGGATAGGGTTGGTCTTCTGCCAGGGTCTCTAAGGACAGGTTTGCAGCTACCCTCTCTGACTTGTTCCCCACAATTTGTGCTGTCAGGGCCTGGGCTGATTGTCAGAGCCTGTGGCATTACCTGGGATGGGCCAAGGAGCTGGGTAGGGGTATGTGGTTTCCCTGGGCTAAGACCAGCCTTTTTCCTTATTTTTATTTATTTGGTTTGTGGGTTTGGGTTTTTGTTTGTTTGTTTGTAGGTGAGTTCCCATCCCCTGGGCCCCTAGAAAAGCTGCCCTTGTGTGTGGGCTACCTGGGAGAGGGTGCGGCTGAGGCAGTCATCACTCAATATCTTCCTCTGACTCCAGCCACAAAGCTCATAGCCAGGCCTGCCCACCAAGAATTGCAACTTCATAAGGAGGTACCAAATTGGGAGACTTTTTGGCAAACAGTGTCTATTTACAGAGAGGCAGACTGAGCCTTCTTAGTGCCCTGGGGCTGGTGGTCACCCAGAGCCACAGAGCGCCCTTCCTCCCAGGTCAGAGCTCAGTTATCATGGTTGGCTCAGGCACATCAGGTGGCCCAGGAGGTCCCTCCTCCATAAGGACATCAAACTTCCAGGAGGGCCAGGGTTCCCAGCATGGGCCAGGAACAGGAGAGGGGGACTTTCTCATGGCGGGGCAGGGAGCTCATTTGTAGGGAAGGCTCTCCACCCTTGGAGAATGAGCAGGCAGGGACTGCCTCTTGCACTTCCAGGTTCTCATTCTGAGTTCTGGGGAGGGAGCGCCCATCTGCTCTGAGCTTGGTCCTCTCAGCTCTGCCTGCCCTGGCCTCTCCCAGTCCTCTGCCCCATCAGATGGCTTTTTGTTTTTGTTTTGCATCCATCAGAGCCTGCTCCTCCGTGTGGCAGGCAGGGCATGCATTTTAGTCGTGACCACTGACCAGCTATGTGGCCCTGGCCAAGTCATAGCTGCCTGGAGCCACAGCTTCCACTTCTATAAAATGGTGGTTTGGGGAGGGAGGAGCAGGCTTTCTGTGAGACACTCGGGAGTTCTTCAGTGAGGACTGCCGTGGGGTGGTATACCAGGACCTCGGGCTGGGCCTTTGTGCTGCCCTTGCAGTGGGCTTATGGGGAAGCCACCGTTCCGCTATGGGTCTCTACTCTCCAGTCACTGAAAATGGGAGAACTTTTCTGTGGGAGGAAGCAGGTGGGGGGCTGGCTAGCGGGCCCCCTCAGCCAGGGATCCCAGAGGCCAAGGGTTTGGGAGAGGAAACCATCATCCCATTACCTCTGTCAGTGCAGGGGTGGCTGCTGCTGCCCTTGTGCACTCAGGTCGCTGTGATTGTGAATAAAGGTGATTTCGTACCAGCCTGAGGGCTGTGCTGTGCGTGGAGCATGGGGGGTGGGGGAAGGAAGGCTGTCGTGTGTGTGCACGTGTGGGGGCGGGCTGGTGTCCTGGATACTAGGGAGTCAGCAGGAGGTGTGGCCCTTCCCTCAGGGGTAATTGCAGGCCTCTGAGGCTTCAGGGTGGGCTGGGGCAATCAGGGAAGAGTCCCTGGAGTGGGGGACTACAGCGTGATTTGAGGCTAGAATGCCAAGTGAGTCTTGTAAATTGAGAGAGACCACTGCATCTGTGATGAGCAGGGTGTGGTGGGGAAGGCGCCCTGGGATTCCACGATGAAGCTTGGGTTCCCCTTAAGGCAGACCAGAGCCCACATCTGCCGCTTGTGGGGTGTGCACCGCCACCTAGGGGCTAATGGGGTGATGACAAATGCTCCACTCAGGTCATCAGGGGCTGTGCTCTGAGCTCCCTGGGGACAAGGCTTCCACCCCTCTTCCCCAGGCTCAGACCCCAACATCTGGCGGGAGCTCAGCTGTGTTCCCACTGGTGAGTGCAGAGGCCTATGCCAAATGGGTGGCGCCACTGAGGAGAAAAGGGAGGCCTCTGGATAGAGACCTTTGGAGAAGTGTTCTAGATGCACTAAGTGATCTTTGTGGCGGGGAAAGCTGGGGGAGACGGCTGATGGGGAGGAGGCAGCCAGACTGGCCCCAAGGTGTAGGCACAGTGTTGGAATTGAGCTTGTTTGGCAGCACCAGGCTTCAGAGGCACGTGGGACACCTGCCTGCCCATCCTGTCCCTTCAGAGGATGCTCAAGCTCCCCAGCCTCTGCGTGGCCTTGCACAGCCATGGGCTGTTCCCTGCATCAGAGCTACGCTGTCCTGCTTACTGGGGTCCAGCAAAAGCAGGAGAGGGTCAGGGGGCCATGCTAAGGGGCCAGCTAGGCCTGCTGGATGTGGGTCCTTGGCCTCAAGATCTGTGTCTTTCAGAGCCTTGGCCACTGCCCAGAAAGCCTCCCAAAAGTGGGGAAGAGGCTGGAGGAGGTTGACCGCGATTCTCACCAGCAAGAATGAGAGCTGGCTGGGCGTGATGGCTCATGCCTGTAATCCCAGCACTTTGGGAGGCTGAGGCAGGAGGATTGCTGGAGCCTAGGAACTTGAGGACCAGCCCTGGCAACATGACAAGAATCTGTCTTTACAAATAAAAAAAAAAAAATTAGCTGGTCATGGTGGTGCGCCTATAGTCTCAACCCCTCAGGCGGCTGAGAGGCTTGAGTCCGAGGTCGAGGTTGCAGTGACCTATGATCATGCCATTGTACCCCAGCCTCAGTGACAGGGTGAGACCTTATTTTTTTAAGCGAGAGCTTACCTACCTGTCCCTACCCTCTAGCATCTTTTCTTTCAGAGGGCCCTGGGATCCTGGAGTCCACCTTGCAGTTTGGGATAATGGGACGTTTGCTATTCAGCCGGATGGGTTTTCTGGTGACAGGGAGAATTAAAAGGTGATTCTGTTTGGTTAAAAAGGCCCAAAACTTTATTTAGTTTTCAGGGAAATATAAGATGCATGTAAACATAAAATACAAAACAAAACCCAAATTTTACAGTCTAGAAGCATGCCAAGACAGAGCATTTCTGCAGACCAAAGAGTCCTGTCAAAGTGATAAAGGACACCTGGGAAGTGGCAGGCCAGGGGGCTGGTCCCTTCCCCAGGGACACTGCATTTTTGTGATGAGATTAAAAAAAAAAAACCCAACTCTACTATTAAAAATGTTAGAAACATGGAGATAGTTTAGCACCACCAGTGATTCTGGAAATAGTTCAGCACTCGGAGTGACTGCACTGAGTTTAATGTCCTTTTCTCCAGTTTCTCTGCTGATGAGGAAAGAAGGAAAACCTGGAGGAAGGGCTCCTCCTGACCCCACAGAGCCCACTAAGAGCTGGGAGGGGAATTCCATGAGGAATTCTCCAAGGTTCTGGAGCTCCAGAGATGTCCAGCAATCCCCACTCAGCCATGCAGTCCACATACCCACGCTTCAGGGATCACTCAAATCTGCCTTGCCTGGGAGTCACTTTCCTGCAGACCTCTGAGTACCTGGCAAGGAAACTCATTTCCCATCCTGTGTCCTGGATTTAAAGAAAGCCTGTTGCAGATAACGAGTTGTAAATTCAAGGGTGGCTGTTTTGCTGTTCTCTCTGCAGTAAACTCTTATGGGGAGTATGCCTTGGTTATAAGGCACTGCAAAATGGCAGGTATATCCATGGACGACGTTCATCATACCCAGTCTAATTCATACCAGATGGCAGGCCTAGCCAACGGGACCACCATAGGTGTCAGAGATACTTAAAGATGACTGGTACCAACAGGATGACAAAGGAGGTTGCCTTCCTCCCAGATACGCCCAATGGAGTCTACTCTGATTCTAGTTTGTGCAGGTGGGGCCTACTGTGTGACCCATTGTGGTCATGGTCTCTAAGTCATACAACTTGAGCAGCTAGCTTTGGATTAGACAGTCAAAGGGAAGTGGGCAAAACCAGCTGAGAACCTGGGAGCTGGATGCATGTATTCTGGAATCAGGGCCTGCAAACTCAAAGATTGGTTTGTTGCTGGTGACTTCCCCTCTCAGATAAGTAAATCAGTGACCATTCATTGAGAACCGATGGGGACCCAGCTTGTGGCCCAATGAGTGGCAGTTTTTTTTTCCTAGCCAGCTTCTGTGGCCAAATTTGGAGGATTTTCCAACCTGCTGTGGCTGGACCCTTGGGTGCTGAATCACTGAATTCCCTTCTACCTGCTCTCTCCTTCCTGAAACACGCAGAGCAGACTTCTTCCTTCTTTCTAACCAACAGACAAAACTCCAAACCCGTTTTCAGTCTTCACACACCTTTTCTTTCTAGAAGACATCCTCTTCTGGAAGCCTCCTTCCCTAGTGAAGGGACAGTAGGCCCCAGCTAAAAACATGCACACGTTCTTCTCACCAACGTGCCTCTCACTTGCCTCTAACATGCTCGAGCCATCCTTTTGCTCTAAATAGTTCTTCCTCCTCTCTCCTTCTCTTTCACCTCTTGAGGCTCAGCCTATTAGTCACGACGGAACTGGGAGCAAGGCAGGGCCCTTCAGTACAGGGGACTCCATTCTCTAAGGCCACTGAATTCTAGGACTGGAATAGGAGAGGGTGCCGATTGTCAAGTGCAAACTTGAGATTTAAGAAGACAGGATTGGGCCGGGTGCAGTGGCTCACGCTTGTAATCCCGGCACTTTGGGAGGCTGAGGCAGGCGGATCATGAGGTCAGGGGTTTGAGACTATCCTGGCCTGTTGGCAAAACCCTGTCTCTACTAAAAAATACAAAAATAAACTGGGCATGGTGGCGGGCGCCTGTAATCTCAGCTACTCAGGAGGCTGAGGCAGAATTGCTTGAACCCAGAAGGCGGAGGTTGCAGTGAGCTGAGATTCTGCCACCGCACTCCAGCCTGGGTGGAAAGTGAGACTCTGAAAAAGGACTGGGGAAGGGGGATTGCATGCTAAGCCCAACCTTATAGGCAGGCTGGGATCAAGGCCTTGGAAGGTAGAGCCCTCCACCTAGTCTGTAAGCACCAGTGTGCCCACCGGCCTGGGGACCCAGGTTTGCAGGAGGGATGTTGGCAGTGGGACTCTTTTCCCCCAAAGCTATGGAACACTGATCCTGTCCTCTCACTGGCTCTGATCATGCATCTTGGGAACCACAGAGACATGAGATGGCGCCGAACAGGGATGATGATTTAGCCAGAAACTTGGTAAAGTCTAGCAGAGCCCTCTGCACACTTTCTAAGAAGTGCTGGGTCTGGCCCTGCAGTCAGGACTAGATGTATATGTACTTCCATGTCTTGTTGGGCACACTGTGAGCAAGTTCTCACCCTGACCACCTGACTCACCCTCCGAAACAGGGACGAAGGGGCGGGCAGCTCTTTTAAGGGGCTTCTCATACTCATGGCATGGCTGAGGGGCAGAAGTCAGCCTACTTGATAACACATCTGCAGGGGTGACCTAACTGAACCAACTCAGTGTTTCTACACCCAATGGCATCTCTTCTGCACATCTGCATTTTGGAGCTTGGGACAACTGCGTAGGCTGCTTCTGCTAGACCTGTTAATGCCAGTGTGAAGCTTCCAACTAAATACTTAATACTTACAAAAAGAAAAAAAACACATTGCACTCTCCAGCCAGAATGATGTGTGTGAATGACGCACACACTTGCTGCCAGAAGCTGTGAGTCCCTTGGGACCTGCCCATTGCTGAGGACTTGTTCAATGGAGACAGCTTGCCGGGTATTGTTTTTTTTTAACTCTAACCCCGTGTTACTTAGTTCAAGTGGGAAGTTACCAATGCTTGCATATGCGCGCGCGCGCACACACACACACACACACACACACACACACACACACACATGGTCCTCAAAAAAGTGAGGGAATCTTATTTAGCAATGTGGACAGTTCTCTTCCCAGAGAGCTCTGCATTGAGATTCTCAAAGACTGAATAGCTAGATGGATATCTAGGGAAAGACTCACACAGGGCAGAGTACCACTCTGGGCACAGAGATCCATGTCTGCAGAAATTCACCAAATAGGGGGTTGGAGCAGCAAGCATACAGTACTGGAGGTGGGGGAAGAAGCCACAGGGAAGTCCCTGTCACCTAGAGGGGCAGAGCTCTGGGGACTTGAAGAAGCAGACCTTCTCATTCTGCCGCTTTCTCTACTGGTGCTGAGGAAGGAGGCCAGATTGGTTACCTGTTGTGGGAAGCTCTGTCTGCAGAGAAACCTGAATAGACCACCCCCCACCCCGACTCTTCCTGGAGGAGAATTCGTACTATCTTGTCTGGGTGTGGAGCACAGACAGGGCTTATTTCTCAGGCTGAAGTCGCTGAGATGAATGGGCGGGCTAGGCTCAGCCCCAGGCCCTGCTATGGGAATTGGTATCTCACAAGGGTGTGCATGGCTCAGGGTTCTTACATCCCCCCCAAAAAACTTGGCGACCTCTAGGCTTCCTGCCTAGAAATTGAACTGATGGCACCCAATTTTAGAAAGATTCACACATACACCAGAAGGATCACAGCCCAAACATCAGGACATGGGGGTGAGAGAGGGCTGCTGGAGTCATTTTTAGGACAGGTCTCTCTGAGCAGCTGGCTGCACCGCAACAGAAATCAAAACAAGGGACAGCTCCTGAGGGCCTGACTCTGCTCCAGGGACTGGGGCCCCGGAGGTCAAGGGCCCCCTGCCTGAATCCCTTTCTTCTGGGTGGATCTGGCAGGGACGCCTATCATCTTCCTAAGGAAGGGGGAGAGGAGAAGGCTACAAGATCAAACTCCATCAACCCACCCACCTGTTCTACAGCTAGGGTTCCTTTAGCACCCCGCTCCTTGGATCTTGCTCTCCGAGCGCCCCTGATTTTCCCTCCATTGTCCCCAGTGAGCCCTGGCATCCATCTTGGTAATATTGCACTTTTCCTGTCTCTCAGATTGTTTCCATTTACGATTGAGAATGCAAGGTATTTGCAGGGGAGAGAGGAAGTGAGTAACCTTAAAGAAATAATATATTAAATACAATAACAGGAAAAATAGGGGTTTATCTTTTTTCCCCTTAAAAACAAAAACTACCAAACCAAGGCCTAAACTTAAATAGCTCTACACCTATTCTGCAAACACTAGTAATATGAAAATAATGCCTGACTGAAATTCCCTTGTCTATTTTCCTTAGATGATAGAAGTAGTAACATGACTTGCTGAGGAAAGCAATGGATATAAATGCCAGTAAAATATGCTGCTCTAACATCTGAAAGTGATTAAAATGATTCTATATAATGCCTTCGTCAAGATGGAAAATCAAGGGGGAAGAAAGAAACATTTGGGGCCAGGCTGGGGGTAGACAGGGCTGAGGCCTGGCAAGAGAGCCCGTCTAGTCTCTGGGCATGGGGGAACCCACAGGGTGTGGGGCCCACCTGCTGCTCAGGGTTGCCCCTTTCCAGCATGCTCTCACTGCCCCCAAAGTCCCGTGGCCTGGTGAGAATAGCAAGGAGGAGAGGGGCAACATAGCCAGGCCTGTGTCACAAAGAGGGATGAGGTGGGTGGGAAATGAAGACTTTTTTTCCCCCTGAAATAAAAGAAAAAGGTCTTTAAATGAAAAGGAAAACGAAGCACCAAATGCTGTATCTTCGGGCATTATATGAACCTCAATAATGACCTCAGAAGGGCTCATTATGTTTAAAGTTGCAGTATACAGCAATACAGTGTCATTTCACATTTTCAATCGCAACTCATGGGAAACTAGGTTTGGACACTGCAGAGATTTTTTTCTTTTTCCGTTTTTAGTCCGATCTGGTTTTCCTCCAGATGGGTCAGAGCCCTAGGCCCCTCCCTCCCTCCGCCTCCTGCCGGCAGTGTCCTCCAACATCACAAAGCAGCTCAGTAGCTCTAGGGAAAGGCCCTCTCACCCTGGCTAGGGCTGGGAGTCCAGGGGCGCAAGGCCTGGTATCCCCTGGCCATTTCTGAGAAGGACTGGCATGCACCCTTCTTGCTTCAAGTATTAATCTCTTTGGGTTTGCAGGGTTTTGTGCTGTGAGTTAGGGGGGTGAGGGGGCGAGGGGGGAAGACTGGGGCATGCAATCCCTGTTTACTGCCCAAATCTACATGCTGTCACCAGGTGGCAGCATTCCCCACTTTTCCTGGATGCCTGAGCAACTCCCAGCCATCCTTGGGGCTGGATGTCACAATGTAAACATGACCACACAATAAACTATAATGGGGGTGAGGAGGAGCACAGGATTAACGCAGTGGGGAGATCTGCCATTAACTAGCTGTGAGATTTTGGAAAAGTCATTTCCTGTCCTTGGGCCACAGTAACAGGAAGGGATGGGATGGCGTGACCTCTGAGGTCTCTTCGGTCCTGCTTTTTAATGACTCTATCACTTAGAGCATGGGGGATGGAGGAGAGGGGGGGTCCTTGAGGGATGGGAGAATGTGGGGGGCAGTGCAGGTGGTAAGGAAGGGCAGGAAAGGCAGGCTCTGGGGAGCACTGTGGTCCAGTCCGACTGAGATGCTCTGTGCTTGGCAGACATGCTCTGCACTCCGTCCTTGCCTGGCTGGTGCACTAGTGACTGAACTGGCTCAGTGCAGACACGGGAGGAGCGAGGCTGCGGGGCCCTCCCCCTGGAAGATAGCTACATGGAAGGTTCTTTACCTGACAGTCACTCTACTTTTAAATTTTATTTTAAATAGTCATAAATTACTTTTTTCTCTTAATAAATATGTGCTGTTTAAAAATGAGAAAAGTATATACTGCATCTTTAAGTAATGCACTTTGCTCTGAGTTTTTTCCATTCCACCTTATTTAAAGTGCATTAATTAAAAAATAATGAACCACTTCTTTATCATTATTGTTCAAATAAGTACAAATAATAATATGAAGACACTAAACCACTACCATTAGTACTGCAGTCTAGCAGATTAACTCAATATCCTGCTCTATTTAATACTGTCCAGCAGAAGAAAATAACTAATTTCAATTTTAAACATACAAAACAAGGAAACAAAACAATCTCACCACAGGCCTTCGACAAAGAACACGAGCCGTTTGCTCTAGCTGCCAGGCATCAGTGTATGGCGAGGGACAGGGGCTTGGGGTTGCCCAGGCAAGGCCTCTGGGATGGGGTGTGGTAGGGGTGGGAGTGGGTCTCGAAGGCACTGAGACACTGGGTCCCATCTGCCCTGCCTGGGTGGGGAGCAAGGTGAGGGAGGGCTTTTCCTCCTCTATAGAAACCACCCCCGCCCCAGTCCAGGGACCCTGGCAGCTGAATCGGCGGCTGTGAAGCCCGATCTGTCTGAAATCAAAGGCACGTGTGGAAATCCACTCCCAGTGAAAGGGCAGTCCTTGGGGGAAGCCGGCTGGGCTTCTGGAGGGTCCCCTCTGAAATGTCAACAATTGAAAAACACAACCCAAAGGTGACCGAGGACCTACAGGGAACTTTATTCTCTCGCTTCTGTCTTCACTGGGGCACTGCCCCTTGGAAGACCAGGTTGGCTCCTGGCACAGGGATCCTCCGTCTTCTTGGGCACCTGTGGCATTGCCAACAGGCCAGAGGAGGCAACTGGCTGTGTTGGCTCCAGTCTGACCCCCAAAGGGCCAGCCGGGTCCTCTCTGCCCATAGTGGGGACGATGACTGCTTCTCCACGCTTCATACATAAGGCTTCCAGCCCTGCCTGGCTGGGAACACATGCAGAATGGCGGTCACCCAGCAGACTGGGAGCTGCCTTCTCTCCAAAAGTCTGGCTCCTGAACATCCTCCTCCTTCCTGGGGAGGTTTTTTGCCCCTCTGAGGTTGTGCAGGAACCAGAAGGACAGTTTCTCTGCTTCACCATGTCTGCGACCTGGGGCTTGCCTAGCCCCCCATTTTTCTGGCAGGCAGCAAGCTCCAGCACAGTCCACACAGTGGAAACCAAATGAAACGACTTTGGCTTGTGGAGGGGAAGAATGTGAAATAAAAGCAAAATCACCCACCCACAAGATACAACAGAAACCCCATCCACTAACCATCCCCTTCCCATGTGAGGCCGACCACCCAAGCCCCCAAACAACCCCTAAAATAAGACGCAAAGGCCTGACATATAAGCCCCAAATCAATAGACCTCTCCCGAAACATGCAAAGGAATTGCCCGCCCAGAAATACTCAAAATAGTCTGTGCAGATTATGAAGAGACCGGTGGCTTCGCACACCGTCTCTGTAAACTGTGGTACTGTGTCCTCCAGGGGATGCCCGAGGAGAGTGCGCTCTCTTCTCAAGGCCAGGACAGTGACAGCTACAAAAGATGGTCCTTGCTGGCACCTGGAAACTGCTTTTTCTTCAACTGACAGTGACAATGGCCTGCCCAGGACAGGCTTGAGCTCATAAGACTCCTCCAAGCCCCAAAGCCAGAGGTGGCTTCTAATGTACCCACCTGTGGCAATGCCCAGGAAACCAGCACAATTCACAAACACAGATAAGGACAATACCAGGGCTACCTGGGGTGGCAAGATGCCAGCAACCAAAACTGGTCCAAGCAGGGACAGGACACTGGAGGCCCCCTGCGACCATGTCTTTTCCAGATCTGTAGCAAAGGCACAACTGGGGTCTCCCACATGGCCTGTCCCAAATGGCATGTAATCCACTGGCGAAGTCCCCACAGTGCACAAGGGGGTCTCAGCTTTCTTGGCCCTGGGTCCCAGGCGTGGGACTCCCTGGTCCATTCCTTTCCTTACTCAGTGTGGGCTCCCCCATCTCCTGCCTTCCACCTGTAGGACAACTTGGATGCGGGGCATCTTTGAGGTCACCCATTCTGCAGGGTTGAATGTTGTCCAGCCCCCACGCCTCCCTTTTTTTCCTTTTCCTTTTGTTCGTCTCACCGCTCATCCAGTGGGCGGCCAGAGAGGCACAATGAGGCTGGAAGAGCCCAGGCCCTCTGCTAGTTCTTTTTCTCAAGGTAGTTGGAGGGCACCCAGCCTTTGAAGGGCTTCACACCATCCAGGATCTGGCAGTACCACCAGCCATTAGGGTTCCTCTCCAGAACCTCCATGGACACCCCCTCCTGGAAGCCTGCTGTCTCCTCATCCCCCTCGTAGTCGGCGATAGAGACGTAAACGTCTTTGAGGTTATTGTGGATGAACTGAGACTTCTCAATGGGCTTGGGGCGCACGGGGGACACGGGGATGCCGTTGCGCTGGGCGGGCAGCAGGGGTGAGTCTGAACCCTGGCTGGCAGCCCGTTCGGCCAGGCGGCCCTTGGTCTCGGGGGTGGCAGCGGAGCGAGCAGTGCTAAAGGAGGAGTTCCGTCGGACACCTCGGAGGCCATCAGTGGCTGTGAGTGACTCATTCCTCCGCAGGGCGCAGGACAGGTTGTTGTCCTTGGGTGGTGGAGAGACAAACACCGACTGGGGCCTGACTGCCACCTGCCGCACGCCATTCCTCATCTTCACTGCTGGGGTGCCTGAGGTCTTGCCGAAGCCCCCAGGGGGTTTCGAAGGGATGGGGGGCGTGGCCCTCTTGCTCTGGTTGACGGTGTTCAGTGCCTGGACCTGCCTCTCAATCTTCTCTAGGCTGTCTGACTTGCCTTTGTTCTGCCTGTCCTTGGCAGGCCCCGCATCTGGCTCTTTGCCAGAGGGGTCGGGTTGCTCGTTTTCATCCAGCACCAAATAGTGGGAAGGGGCCCAGCCCTCCAGCTCCCCAAACTTCACGTACCACCACCCACTCTCCTGCTTCTCCAGCACCTGCACCTCCACGCCCGCGGGGAAGCTGATCTCCGAGTCCTGGACCTTCTGGTAGGCACTGCATGTCACGTATGAGGTGGCTGGCCCTTCCCATTCCTTCTTGGTGGGACATGGGGGAGTGGCAGCTGGGAGGGTGATGAGGTCGGATGAGCCTCTCCTATACCCCTCACTGGGAGCCTCGGAGGCCGTCTGCGGGGGCAGCTCCGAATCCTCACTCTTGGAGCCCTTGAGACCCCCGCGGAGCTGGCCTGTGGGTCTCAGCTGGCGCCGTAAAGTGCTGATGTCCATCTTCTCTTGGCTCTGCGACTCTGCTCGGTTCAGGAATGGCTTGGGCCGGACTGATGGCTTGGCCCGGGTACAGGAGGTCAGCCCAGCTTTCGCATCAGCATCCTTCTTTGCCTTGACCTTAGGAGTGCCACGGATGCCTGCGTCTGAAGCAGAGCGGGGCTTCAGCTCGCCACTGGTTTTGGACAAGGAAGAAGAGGAGGAGGAAGAGGAGGAGCAGCAGGTGGTATTGATGGTGATGGAGGAAGAAAAGGAGGCTGAGGAGTGGTTCTTCCCCAGTTCTGCCTGGGCATTCTTTTCTGCCTTGAGCTTTAGGAGTGACGATGACTTGGGGGAGGCTGATTTGGGGGAGTTTTTCCTGACCAGGGACAGTGAGGAGCTGCCTGGGGAGTCACTGTCCCCAGAGGAGCCTCTGGCTGACAGGGTATCCTCTGTATACGGCTGGAAGCCCTCATTCTCATAGATGGTCTCCTCTTCCAGGGCCACGTCTTCTGAAGACTCGCCCACTTTGAAGCGGGCCCGCTGCAGAGAGGAGGCCGGTGACGGCCGGCAGGGCTGAGCAGGCCGCCTGTCCCCTGAGGCTCTGTCCTCCACGGGCTCCTCACTCAGCTCGGGCTCTGAGTCAAAGCCAAATGCAGGGATGTCATACTCAGGCTCCTCGTACTTGAGCTTCCGTGGGGAGTCCTGGCTCTCACTGGCCCCTGGCAGGCCCTCCTCGGCCTCCCTGGGCTTGCTGGGGGGTGCTGGCGGGGGCACCTTGGGCCGGGTCAGCGTGCTTGTGCGGCGGCTCAGGTTGGGCTTCTTGCGCTTATCGATGTATGATGCGGGGGCCCAGCCCTCCTTCTCACCGATCTGCACGTACCACCAGCCGCCTGAGTTCTTATCAATGACCTGGTGGATGAGTGCAGACGAGCCAGTAAGTTGGGAGGATCTGGGACCCTATGACATCCCGAAGTAGGAGTGTCATACTTTGGCTTGGAGATACATCATCTCCATTTTACAGATAATAAACTGAGCCACCGAGTAAGTGGCCCAAGAACCAACAGAATAAGTAATGCACCAGAATTCAAACCTAGGTCTCTAGCATCTCATGGTTGGTGGGTTCCCCTTGCCAAGTTACCTCCCTGGTCCTCCACATCTGTGTTAACACCCGGGTTGAGCTGGCCACTCCTTCCGCTAAACTGCACTGTTCCCAGTCCCTATGATGCTGCCAGTAGACTCACTAAGGACATGTATGAATAAAACACTGCCCTTCTGCTGCCCCTTCCCTCCTTGTACCCTCGATGTTGCTAGGTCCATCCTAGGAGGCCTTTGGAAGGGTCTCTAAGGTCAGAAGAGAATGGGAAGATGCAGATGAAGCGACTGGGAGGTAGAGGCCCGAGGCCAGGGCCTCTCTGGAGAGGCTCTTCCCAGTGTCTACCACCTGTGGCCATTTTACTGAAATCCCAATGAAATCCCGCTAGCTGAAGAGGTTTCTATGGGTTGAATGGTTTCCTGTGGGAAGTGTAGGGGACTTTCAGTAATTTCCATGTTAGTATAAACTGGCTTAAGGGGCTTCGTCCTTAACTTTTGAGATCAACCAATGGCCAAGAGTGTGACTGCTGGTTGTGCTGGGGTCCATTTGGACTGGGGAACGTAAAAGGCAGGTAATTGGGGATTGTGGGACACTCCTGGTGGGAGAGATCCTGGGGTGGGGAGGGGTAGCGTAAAAACACTGGCACCATGAAAGAGGCCAAGGAGGGAGGGAAGGATGGAGAACGCAAAGGCAAGAAGAGACCAGTCCTCTGTACTCCACCAAAAGAGAAAGATTTTCTCCTTCTTTGGGTCCTTCATTCTGTCCTTCACCCTGCCCCAGCCCTGGACCTACAGTTCAAGCACTCCTTGAACCTGATGGTTCTGCCACATTATGCTTTTTAGACTCTCCTAGAAACCTAAGCACCGAGAGGATGATTTTTCTTGGAAATTTAGTTCCAAGTTCCAGGCATGTGATTTAAAACATTCATATTGGGAATGTCACCGCTTTAGAGGTAGAGACTGCCCAGTGAATCTGACAGGACATCACTTGTACTAGTTGAAGTTAACTCAATTACTACACAAAGCCACTGAGAGAATTGACCGAGTTACAGCTCTTCTCTGCTGCTGGGAATACCGTGCTCAGCACCAGCCACAAAATACAGTGGCCTGAATGCTGGAAGACAGGCTGGGAGGGGGCGTCCCAGGATCTATCACCCCATTTGCAGAGAGAAATGCTTAAAGTTGGGGGGGGGAGGCGGGAGAAGTGACTGCATCAAAGGCCAAGGGTCATGTGGTATGACTTGGCCAGAGCCCATGTCCCCAGTATCATTCCACCTGCCTGGTCCACATCCTCGTGACCACATTTCCTACTAGGGCTCTGCAGGATCCTGGCCCTGAGGTGCTCCTGGGAGAAAAACTTGTAGGGTAGTGTTGCCTATTCTAGTCCCCTTGTAGATGACACTCCCAGTGACATCCTTGTATCCTAGGCTCTAGGAAGCCCTGCAATTAAAACAACAAACGGGTTGGATGTTGTTTAATCCACTGTCCTGGAAGCTCATTTGACCACAGAAGCCCTTTGTTTTGAGGCCCCTGTCACAAGCTCCCGCACATGCTCTGGGAAGTGTCGCTGTGAGACGAGCCCTGTGAGCTCAGGGTGGAGCATGAGAGCTGGGATCTAGTCCAGGCTGTGGGGCTGGCTGGCACCAGGCAGATGCTCATCCTTGTGGTGCTTGTTTCTGTACCTTTCCTGGCTGCCACTCAGCAGTCTTACTAGCAAGGCCTAAATGGGAAGTGCAGTTCTGCCATGATGAGTTAAAAACCTCGGCCTCATGGCCCGAGGCTTACCTCTGCCTTCTGTCCACCCCGAAAGCTGATGCCATCAGAAATGCACGACTGGAATTCGGCAATGGTGTAGTACTCCACTTCAACAGAAGGGGGCTCTGGTGGCTTTGGCAGTTGGAACCCCTAAGGTTGAAGAAGACACAGTGGGCAAAACCCTCCCAAATCAGAAGAGTAACATGGCCAAGTGTTGGTCCCCCCCACTCAGTCCCCAGAATGTGTGGATGGCTGTTTACACCAGCCGGACAGCAGCTAGCCTAAGTATATATCTATCACCGGAGTCTCAGGGTATACCCACAGGGGATTGCTCTGATGAGGCTTTCTCATACTCGGGATTCACGGGAGGCTTGTCTGAGCTATCAAAATGCTCACATTACGATTACAATCATCATCGTCATCACTGAGACAGGATCTTGCTTTGGGACCCAGGCTAGAGTGCAGTGGAGTAATCAGAGCTCACTGCAGCCTCCATCTCCTGGGCTTGAGTGATTCTCCCACCTCAGCCTGCCTAGTAGCTGGGACTATAGGCACATATCACCACACCGTTTTGTTTGTTTGTTTGTTTGTTTGTTTGTTTTAGAGATGGCCTCTCTCAGGATCTGGAGGAATTTGCTTTAAAAAAAAAAAAAAAGAGAGAGAGAGAAACAAAAGTAGAGATAGTGCTTTGCAATGTTGCTTAGGCTGGTCTCATACTCCTGGGCTCAAGCAGTCCGCCTGCCCCAGCCTCCCAAAGTGCTAGGATTACATCATAAGCCACCCTGCCCAGCACGGAATCCTCGCTTTTAAGACAGTAATTTCTAATCTTACATCTCTGGAGGTCAAATTTTCAGATGCCTCAATAGCTGAGTCACAAAATGAAAATTAAAAAATCTCCTATAATCCTAGTGCTTTTGGGAAGCCCAGGTGGGAGGACTGCTTGACGCCAGGAGTTTGAGACCAGCATGGGCAAACAGTGAGACCCATCTCTAAAAACAAAACAAACAAATTAGGTGGGCATGGTGCTATGCACCTGTGGTCCCAGCTACTCGGGAGGCTGAGGCGGGAAGATAGGTTGAGCCCAGGAGCTCGAGGCTGCGGTGAGCCACGATCAGACCACTGCACTCCAGCCTGAGTGACAGTGTCTCTGAAATTAAAAAAAATAAAAGGAGAGAAATCATTCTAAAAAAGCCCTTGCACACTGTGCTGTGGGAGAGGAAGGAAAGCCACTGTCCCGGAGTCTAGGGGCAAGGGCTGCAGCTGGGACTTCAGTAGCACAGGCAGGGTGAAGGAGCACAATGGTCTCTAGTCTGGGGTGGGTGTGTATCGAGGCAGTGCAGTTGGCTGAGCAAAGTCTTTAGCTGGTCATCATGACGAGGCCAGATAGGCAGGCACTAAATAAAACTCGCAATATTCTGTGGGCAGGGCAGAACCCACTGGAGATACTCAACGCTTTTCAGACACCGGCACAGCAGCATCTAAGCATGACATTCAAGGACATTTAGAAGCTGGCCTTTGCCCATGGTTTGCGATCCTCACCTATTCATTTAACAACTGTGTGTTGTGCATCTACAGGGTGCCAGACACTGGTCTAAGGCACTGAACACCCACTAGGAAACCAAACGGACAATCCCTTGTCCTTGCGTATTGTACGTTTTTGCTTCAATGGTCTTTTCTCTACTCAGCTAAAATGGACTTTGTACCCTGCTGTTTATGTTCTCCCTCATGCAAAGAGGTTCAAATAAAGCAATTGGAAAAAAAAGGTGGGAGGGACGAGGGGATGAGAAGCTTGGTGTAGCAGGAAGACCTGGAGAGACCTTAACCTTGGCTCTGGATCCCAATCCCAGCAATTCGCCAGCTGCGTGGCCCTGGGCAAAGCCCCTGACCTCTCTGAACTTCAGTTCTCTCATCTGTAAGTTGGAACTAATACCAGCATCATGAAGAGGATCCCTGAGATAATGTGTAACACTTTGGGCCTGGCCAGGGGCAGAGAGAGATCTCAATAAATAGAAGCGGGAGCTCAGCACTCCTCCTGAACTTCTCTTCTTCCCAGCCTTCCTTTCTTCAAGGCTCTGCATGTCCTAACCCTGCCAGTTGAAACTCAGCTGGGTCAGAGTGAGTGAGGGGTGGGAGGAAGCTGGTTTGAGGGATCGGGTGAGAATCTGCCACCCTTCCCAGTCCCAGGGCCTGGCTGTGCAGCCGTGCATGTGCGCAGAGACAGCGCAGACACAGCACAGGCCACATCTCTGGCCAGGTGGGATTCAGCTGGGCCTAACTGGAAACAGCAGCCCTGCCTCAGCAATCCCTGCATTTGGTAAGTGTGGAAGGAATTACCCCATTCTTGCCAAAATCAAGTCTGCCTGAAAATAATTAGCCGTGGCTAGAAGAGATGATAGGGAGGGAGAATACAGTGTTTGGGCATATAAAACGCCAAGGGGAAAAAGAGAAACCCCAGTGGGCCCCATGGCCAGGGCAAGGAGGGTCTCATTTCCAGGGATGAAATCTTTAAAAACTGTATTTTTAAGGAGGGCCTACTCTTCCACAGACTGGTGCCCCCTAGCCAAGGCCGATGTCACTGACCACGGTAACTTTTGCTGCTCAGCCCAGATGTGACTTCAGAATCCTCCTTAATCCAGTGCACCAGGTAGTAGTACCAAGCAGGCCAGAGGGGACGCAGGAAATGGAAGCCTGTTTGCTAGCCCTCCACAGACATCCTCTCATTTCACCCTTACAACAGCCCGAGGAGATGGCCAGTACTGTCCCACCTGATAAATAAGGGCACTGAAACTTGTGGAGGGCAAGTGACTTACCTACAGCCTCTCTGCCTCTAAGTGTCAGAAGTGGAACAGGAATCCACGCCTGGCGCTCTTGAAGACCCGCTCTTTCCACTACATCCCCCTGTGCCGACTAGCAGTTCTTTGTTCCAGGGCTCTCGGCCTGCCACCAGCATTGCAGGCACCCAAGCCCCGCACCCTTGATTGCATATCTGCCTGCATGAAGGTCTGGACACCAGGAAACCCTACCCATGTGGACCAGGGACCCTGGCAGTGTTAACCTCTTGAAGCTTAGGCATGAGCCAGTCCTGGCCACTCACAGTCCTCCCTGGAAGAGGCTCACTGATCTGCCCTCTGCCCTCCCAGACTCTGACATCCACCACCTCCACTGGGCATTCCTGACCAGGGAAAGCTGAAAGGCATCCAGGCTAGCATGGACAGCAGCCCCATTTCCAGCCCCTGGCAATGCCCCGGCTGGACACTTTTGCCGGGCAGTCTAAATGTTTATGTCTGCCAATGCAGTGAGAGGGATGGATTTATTTAGCTTTGGAGTGCCGTGTGTTTCCGATTATAAACTGTCCAGCCAGGCCCCCAGGAAGGCTGGGATCTGCGGCTTCCCTCCCTGCCCCCAGCTCTACAAAACTAGAAGCCCCAGCAAGGCCCTGGAAAACCCCTGGATCAAGAGGCTCTGCAGCAAGATAGTCAGTTGATCAGGCAGCTATAGTGCATCCACAGAATAGGAAGGAAAGGGAGAGAGATTTAGTACACATACCAGGCTGGATTCTCTGCGTGGTGGAGGTCTTGTCCTTAGGTTTGGGGAGCCTAGAAGAGACATGGCTTCAGTAATCCCAGTCAGACAATGGGCAACAGTGCCTATACCTGCCTGCCTTAGGTGAAACTAACTCCTGATCCTTGCAAGTTCATGCTTTTGCTCAGCCTTTATGAAGGACTTGATGCTCTAAGTTACTACGGGCACTATAGTTGGGCTTCCTCAAGGGGAAACTGTAGACCTTTACCTTGGCTGTGCTGCCAGGGAATCTGTGAACCCTCTACAATTATGTGCACTTTTCAAAATGTGCAGATATGTGGGCATTTTTCAGGGTAAAGGGTATATAGCTTTATCAGATTTTCAAAGTTAGGAGCACAGACCATGTCTATTTTTTGCTCACTACTAAGTCCATAGAAGCTAGCACAGTGCCAGGCAAGAGGAGGTGCCCAACAACTGTTTCCCAGCTGGTTGCCTAAAAGATTTCGCGCATGAGAGCTAACTTAACCCAGTGGAGCAAAACTAAAGAAACAGCTTTCCTCCAGATTTTAAGAATGTCTGGACACAAACAAAAGCTAGGCTCCTATAACACAAAAGTTTTAAGACACAACACAAGGCAACATTGGGCCAGAGATGGAGAGTGCCAGATTGCCCGGAGTCTCTTGTAGGAATGCAGGTGATTCTTGAATAACGCCCTGTTGAAACTGCCTGTGCAGAGTGGTAAAGCCTTATTTTCCACATCTTTTAGGTTTCTAGTAACCAGTGGAAAGTCATAGGGAAGGAGCTGCTGAGGCCCAGAAAGATGTTTCTCTACAGACTGTCAACTCCACAGAGCAGCCGTGCATACAGCGCCCACATTCAATAGCCTAGGGAAATGTGTCTTTGTTTTTTTTTAAAAAAAGTCAGCTACACATCATCTATCTTGACTTATAAAGCCTTTACTATAAGGAAAAGATATGTTTCTTGTTCTTGGAACACATGTATCTGCAGAGTAACCATTGGTGGCTCTCCAGTAGAGAAGGAGGGAACGCTATCACCTACATCCTTGTGATTTAGCTTCTGTGGAGCAGATGGGAGCCCCTGAGTCATCACACTCCTCTGCCTTCCCACTCCTGTGATGAGCATGACACATTTTGACAGAGTGTGGGTCAAAGGCCAGTCTGTAGCCCAGGAGGAAAATGCCATGGGGGTCCTGCACCCTTCCCCCCCCCCCCCACTTTCATGCACCCATGCTCATTCTCTAAGGAGCTTTACAGTGAGGACCCAGGTTAGAGAGACTCTTACTGATCTGGGCCCGCTGAGGGGCAATCCTGGCCACAGCTGGAGAGCCCTGGGCCAACCTGGAGACAGTCCTGTCAGGGATGCCCACGGCGCTGCCATTGGAGGCATTGCAGAGGATGGGCAGGCTGATCTCCTTCTTGGTGATGGGGGCCTCATGGCCTTCGCCTTCGGCTGGTGGGGTTTCCTTGTCTCCAGACACCTTCTTATTCAGCAGGTTGCTGATCTCCATGATGTTCCCGATGATCTCCACTGGGCCGGCCAGGTTCTTCTTCCGGGTTGGCAGGTCGTCCTTGGCCTTCTTCAAGTAGGATGCTGGTGCCCAGCCCTCTTTGCCCAGGTATCTGTGGGGAGGAGCAGGATGACCTCACACCCACTCCCAGACCCTAGGATCCATTTGGCCTTGCCCAGCGGAGGCTTCCTTACCATGTTCTGCAAGGCTTGGCAATCCCACTACTCTGGAGAGAAATGGCACCGAGAGTAGGTGGAAAAGACCCAGAACACCAGTTCCCGCTGCCCACCCCACCCCCCCCGCCCAACTGCACTCCTTTTTCTTTGTCTGATCGCTCTTGGGGTGGGCTCTCACTCTCTGCAAAGTTAGGCAAACGTGGGAGCTTGGGATCAGATCTATCAACTTTTGGGTTGCCCCAAAGGAGGACTTCATAATGGCCTGCTACTTCCCAATCAGTTGAGGAGAACTGGAGAGATAAGAACGAGAAGGTGTGGATGTGGTATGCAGAGTTAAATCCCCTGTAGGAAGGGGAGGGATTAGAGAGGGAGTTGATTCCACAGGTGAGAGTCAGGCAGTCTGAGTTCTAGTCTATGGCACCTTGCAGAAGTCCCTTCCCTGGAGCTCAGTTTGTCTCTCTTCTGCAATATGCAGGGATAGAGTCACTGTTAAAAATGTATCCCGAAGGACAGACACATTGAGATCAACTAAGATGTCTCCAAAGAAGGCTGACTGAATGGGAGAGTTGAGGTGCCACTGTAGGTGGATCCGCTATAGACTGTCATAGACCACGTTCGTAAGCCAGGCTCAATTTAATGTAGTGGAACAAGGATGCATTATTCAATAAATGATTGGGGACTGGGCGAGGTGGCTCACACCTGTAATTCCAGCACTTTGGGAGGCTGGGGCAGGAGGCTCACTTAAGGCCAGCCTGGGCAACATAGTGAGATCTCGTCTCTACCAAAAAAAAAAATTTTTTTTTAATTAGCTGGGTGTGGTGGTGCATACCTCTAGTCCCAGGTACTCGGGAGGCTAATGTGGGAGGATTGCCTGATGCCAGGAGTTTGAAGCTACAGTGAGCTATGATCGTGCCACTGCACTCCACTCTGGGCAACAGAGTAAGACCTGATCTCCAAAAATGTAGTAAGTGGTCTGGGGAAAACTAATGACCCAGTTAGGAAAAACAAGACAGACACTGGCTTTACACCGTATAGCAGAATGAAAAAATAAAAGATTGACACAATGCTGGGGGTTGAAAAAGTCTATGTGGGGCTCCAAAAGCAGAAACCATAAGTGAAAAGACAAAAGCACATGACTAGATGAAATGCAAACCGAAGCAAAACAAAAACAAAACAAAAGGAAAGAAAACCAAAAGCTCATAAACAAAGGCAAAAGGCAAATCATAGGGCTGACTTAATTTCTGGTGATTCGATGACTTCTGAAAACAACTTTTCCTTTTTTTCCCCATGGTGTTGAGTTTTCACCCAAACCCATGGGGACTTCACTTCCTGGTCCAGTAGTTGTTGGCCAATACCCTCAGGTCTGGGTTGCAATGTCCCCATCTGCTCTCTAGAACACATCTGGCTCTTTGGAATGGCTCCTCCATGCCAGATGTCTGAAATCCTCCCTGTCTCCCTGATCTGACCTTGTTCTTGGACACTCATTAGGTGGGAGAAAAGGAATATGAAAGCTGAGGTTCCTATCAACATGTCTGAGCTTTGCAGAAAACGTGCAGGTAGGAGGTGGCTTCTTACGTTCATGTCACAGAAATGTACAGGCAGGCTGACCCAAGCTTGCCTTCCCAGGGCTTGGGAGACAGAGGAGAGTTAACACGTGGGTGAGAGTCAGGGGCCTGTCTTGAGTGCAAATGAGTGCAAACAGAAGCACGGAATTTTAAGGGTGGATGGGAACGACTAGTAAAAATACCTAATCTTCATGTGAGCCAACAGCCATGGCTGAGAAAAGCAAAGCAGGCAGCAGAGGGTCACACAGCGAGCTCTTAGCAGCATCTGGCCCACAGCCTGGTGCTCTTGCATCTTGGAGAAGAGACAAAGATGAGCCCACTGGCCCTCGCTGATGGTTCTTCTACATGGACACTGTAGAGCTATAGGGAGAGGGGGCTCATGAGGTGACAGTCAGGCCTGCTTAGGGCCCCGAGTGCTCCTATATGTGTTCCTTCAGTGTTACATGGGTAAAATCAGATTTCAGGAGAAGAAACGCGAGGGAATCAGGAGTGGCTGTGTGTCTGGGTCCAGCTCTGCTCACATCTGCTTTCCAGCTCTGGAGAATGAAATGACTCCAGAGGGAAGCAAGCTGGAAAGGGCGCGATGGAGAGAGAGAGAGAGAGAGAGAGAGAGAGAGAGAGAGAGAGAGAGAGTGTGTGTGTGTGTGTGTGTGTAGGGGTGGGGGAAGGAGAAGAAAGGAAATGAGGATCAACGCAAAGCCTGGAATGTTGGGAAATGGCATATTTAAGGGGGTGTCTGGCAGCCTTCTTAAGGTGGAATCCTTTCAGCAGGGTTTTCTCAATCCAAGCTCCTGCTGGCCGTTAAGACTAGGCCATGGGGACAGGAATGGACTAGAAGCAGCTCAGAGTGACTTTGTTGGTTATTTTAGAAAACTAAAAAATAAAATAATGAAGCAGCCTTGTAGATAAGCTTCAGGCAAGTGAGCTAGGCCACCAGCCTGCCAGAATCTTTCCTGGCTTTCTCATGTGAGACTCGTGGCTGGCAGATTATTGGGTTGGCTCTAGTTTCCATTGCTTAGAGAACATAAAAGTCTAGGGGCAGTGGCTTTCCACAACACACGTCCATATACACAGTCCATCCCACCCAACGGGACAGAAAGGGACGTCTCAGCCCTCCTGACTGATATGCACCAGGGCTCCGGGGTGAGGCGGGGTAGGGGCAGCAGGGGTGGCGAGTGTGATGGAGCCATGTTCCATCAGGTCACACTACGGTGCTATCTCCATGTGTCCAGTGACCTCAGCATAGACTAGGCTTTAAAGCCATCATGTTGTATCATGTTCTGAGTAACTGTCGCGTGAGTACTCGCATTGCCTGGGGCGTGGTGACGCCACTGCACAATCCTGTCCCCTCTGTGGGAAACCACCTAGAATGTATGTCCTACCCACAGTGGGTCTGGGGTCCCCATAGCCCATGGATATGGAACTATCTCTGTCAGCTGGGTAAGTGGCAGAGAAGACAGAAGGTGGGCAGTCATCACAGCTGAGCCAATTCCAAGGATGCCAAAAGCATTTCCTGAGAGCAGGGGTCCTAGAAGGGCAGGTCTTGGCAGGGTAATGGTGAGTGACATCCACAGGATTGTTGGCTTCCAGAAGATCAGGAAAGACCCCACTTTCCTACCCACACCCTTAAATAGGATTCTAGGCTGGGAACTGTGATTAGGCCTGCGAGAGGGAGGGGCAAGAGAAGGAAGAAGCCTCTGATGGTCTGAGCTGAGGCCTGACTTCTGCTCCAGCCCTTGCAGCCAGCCCTGCAGTTTGGATGGCCAGTCCCTATCCACCAGGGACATGGCTGCAGGAGGCCTGCATCTGTGCCCGCCCCTGCCCCCGCAGCCCACCTCTCTGAGTGCTGAGCCTGGGCAGCAGAGGCTGCCTGCTGGGACCTCAGCAAGGCCTGCGGACGCCAGTGCTCCAGGCAGCCGTAGGTGCAGAGCAGGCTAGGCAGCCAAGGCCGGACACACAAAACCAAATTCAGATGTGCTGAACTCTTGGCAGATGCGTGGGAAGGGATTGCACCACAGCCTGCAAGCTGAGCCGGGGCCTCTGTGCCCCGCTGGCTGTGGCTCAAGCTCTGCTTTGTGTGTCCCGGGAGAAAATGTGCAAGATGAGCACTCTCTGGTTGAGCTGTTCAGCTGTGCAGAGGCGGAGCAGCCAGCCCTTGCCATGGGCACAAAGCTGCCAGTATCTACCTGCCATCAGGTAGCCACAGCCACTTTGCACTCTGCCCAGGGCCTGGGTGGCTGAGGCACCTCTTTCGTCCATATAAGTGTTCCCTACCTGATATACCACCAGCCTTCCAGATTCTTCCGGATCACCTCCACTGTGACGCCCTTCTCAAAACCAATTTCGTCCTTGCTTTGGCTGGTGTAAGGCTGCACAGTGACATACTTCTCCTCTGGGGATGGGAGCAAGAAAGCAAGATTATTTGAGGTCAGGGTGGAGGTCTTGCTTCCTGTCCCCTCCTCCTGCCCTGGCCTGGCTGTTGCTCAGCAGCTTGCCACGGTGCACTGGGTTGGCTCTGGCTTCTCCAGGGGAGGGAAGGACCAGGCCCCAGATGTAGCAGCAGGGAGACCACGGGAGTAGGGGTCACTGCTGCTCCCAGTGTTTGCCAAAGCCAGCCAGGACCCAGGTTGCCAGGCAACTCCCTGGGAGCAGGGAGTTGGCTCTCCTAGCCTGATGATGGCAGCAAGGCTGCCGGGACCATGCGGTCCACAGGGCTGCAGAAGCTTGCTGGGCTGAGGGCAGGATTAGGAGAAGCCAACCCCTCCTGAGGTGTCCTCGCATGCCTGCGGCCCCATGGCACGCCACCTCTCCTTGAAATGTGCTGTTTCCATCTGTGTCCCAGACAGACTTTCCTAGCCTGCCCCCAGCTCAACATCTTGCTTGCATCCTTCCTCTGTCTGACCTGCAGAGGCTCTAGGGACACCTCCTTGGTAAAGCCTTCCCTGAGCACCCAGCTGATCCATTAACACCTGGTCATGTAATCTCCCAAGAGGAGTCCACAGAACCCAAGTGTCATGGGAACAGTTATATGCGTTTTGTTAAGACAAGGGTTCGATGGCCAAATGAGCGTGGGAACACCCAGCACAGCACAATTAGGCAGCACCTCGGGGCCCTTACTGGTTCAGTGCACCCAAGTGGCTTCTGCAGGACATGCTGTGCCAAGCACACAGCCAAGGCATAGCTCCTCTGGAGGGCAGCCTGCTGTTATTTCCAACGATGTCACTTCAGGGTCTTGCCCAAGGTCTTCCTTAGGCACTGGGGAAGAAGTGCCTTGCAGACTCTCAGGAAGGCTTGGGAGGGCAGGTGTGGGGAGAGTGGGGCACCACGCTGTCTCCCCTGGTTTCTCTCAGCCTCCCTCCTGGCAGGAGGCCTGCGTGCCTCCCTCTTGGGTCCTTGATCAGGCTTCCAGGAGGGTGTTTATTCCATGCCTGCTGGGATCCAGCTCTGCCTGTCCCAGGAAACCCCTCACAGGTAGACCCCGCAGCTGAGTACTCCCTGGCTCTGCTTCTAGCTGGCTGGCTCAAGAGTCCCTGCCCCCTGGCTGACACCCTCTGTAGAGGCCTGCTTGGGGTGGAACACACCCCCACCTCACCCTCTGGGGGAACAAGGAGCTAAGACAGGAGGAGGAAGAAGCGGCAATCTGGCCATGCCCTTCTGGAGGGTCACGCTGAGTCCGTGTTGTCCTCTCTGGCCTGGGAGCTCCCCAGGGGTTGAGACAGTGCCTGGCAAACAGTGGGAGACTGTTGACTGCATCACGACCCGGCAAGACTGAGCAAGGGTACTGATGGGAAGCGCTGTGAGCTCAAAACAGCAAGATGCTGGTGCAGACTGCTGGCCTCTGGTCTCTGGGACACCCGCCCCTCCTGGCTCCCAGCTGTGACAGCCACCCCCTGGATTCCTCAGCTGGACGCTGCCAGGCAGCCTGCCTGAGACTGGCTGTCGTGGGGGTGGGAGGCAGCTGCCACCCCAACCCCCAGCTGCAGGAGGGCCATCTGCCTACTCTCCCCTGGATTATCGGGTCCTGTCTGCAGCCCTGTGTTGAGCCGAGATAGCAGTTCCCTTTGGGGTGGTTGTGGCTGCCTGACCGGGCTGCAAGAATGGAACTGATGGGCCACAAGCCAAATACAGATTGCTGCCCAAAAGCAGAAGGTGGGTGATGACCCATGGAGCCTTCAGGATTCTTTAGCACGCCCTTCTCTGCTGCAGAACTTGGTCAGCATCAACTCAGGGAGGGCCTTACTTTGGAGGCTTTCAGATTCCAACCCAGCCATGCTTTGGACTGCTGCCAAGGCGGCCTGAGAACCCTGCCCAGCCAGATTCTGACTCGGCCCTTTGAGAAGTTCAGGGCTCCACAGTCCAACTCTCCACTCTCCTGCCTGCTCCTGGTTCTGCTCCATTTTCCAGTGAGGCATGGCAAATCCTGGCCTAGTGGCGGCCAGAGGGGCAGTGCCATGCTCCGGGAATCCAGGGTTCTGAGGTTAGGATGAGGCGAGGCCTGGGCTCCACATTTTGCCTTTGTTCAGCTGGGCTATTTTTAAAGTCTGTGGTTCGAGCAGGAAGCCATCATTAAGGTTTTCCTAGGCAAGGTTGTATTTGCAGGGAGAAATGACAGCCTTTCTCGTGGGAAGATCAGAGGAGCCCTGCCTGCCTCATGGCAGAGAACTGGGTCTAGACCATCTCATGTGGGCCCAGCCCCAGCCTTCGCAGCCTCCTGGGGTGCATGGAAGACAGAATCCTGTGGGCCATGTAAGCTTAGGCATTCTCCTGACCTCTTGGGAGTGGAGGCAGAACCAGGGATATCAGTCTGGCTGGTGAAGTTGAGCTGCTCCTGCGAAAGGTTCTTGGGGGCCCTGGAGCTGCAGCAGCCACAGATGTCCAGGAGTTCACGTGCTGCTGCTGAGAACTCCTGGCTGGGAAGCTCGTCCTGCACTGGTTCCAGGGATTAGAACTCAAGAGCCCTCTTGCCTGGCAGGGCAAGGCAGCCAGACCAGGTCTTCCTAGACCCTGGGTTTCTACCCAGTTGGCTCAGATGGCAGAGGCGTGGACTTTCCATGTGGACATGGGCCTTGTGGGTCTCAGGCTTTCCGACTCACAGGTGTCCTAAGGGAGAGGCACTTGCCTGGGCCACAAATGCCATCTGGGGGCACCAGATAAGAGAAGGCCCAGACAGATAGACATGGCCTCAGTGGGCAGCTGCATGACTCAGGGTGGTCAGGGTCTCTGGAAGAGATGTCCCTTCGGAAATGGGGTTGAGGGAAGGGAGGCTGTGAGCTCTCGTGGGCTCTTCAGGGCTTCTGGGAAGCACTGGGGCTGTGGGCACTCTGACCACGCCACCAGGAGACAGTGGCAGCCTGCCCTGGGGAGGGCTGGCCAGGCGGTCAGCCGGGTGGGTGGGTGGGGGATGGGAACAGGCCTGCTTTGGTTTTGGAGGCAGGGGCTGGATGCTCTGCTGTTTCCAAACCACAGAAGCCTCCTCTCCCCGACACTTTCCCCTCTGTCAGCAGTCTCCCCACTCCCCTCCTGCCCCCACAACTTACCCAACCCCACTGAGAAAGGCCTTTTGGTTCCAAGGGGCTGGCTGGATGAGGGAACGGGAGCGGAGGCCATGGGGAAGCTCAGCTTTTCTCTTGTCTAGCTCCTCCATGACCTGTAGCCTGCCTCCCCCACCAGCTCTGCTGTTTGCAGTAAGCATCTCCCAGCCAACTCTCTGCAAGTTTTTCTTGGCTGCCTGGTTTAACTTAGCCCATCGGGCTGAGGCTGGGAAATTATGTTGTTTAGGTCTCTTATTTAAGAGAGTGAAAGAGAGAGCACAAGAGCTGGGGGCTTACATTTGCTTACAATTCTTAGGACCAAGAATTAGGCATTTCATTGCATGTTTGTGTCTCCACGTACCACTGTATGTCTGTGACTGGGATATATGTAGTGCACGGTGTTGCGTATGAAGCTGTATGTGTCCCTGTGAGTGCTGCTTCAGAGGTACATGTGACATGGCTGTGAGCAGTCAGTTGCATGTACGATGCATTTGTGACTGTAAACAGCAGACACACGGCACAGTGTATGTGTAGCTGCATAACTGTACCTTTGAGTGGCTGTGAGCCTGGGGCTGTGGATGCATTGGTGTCGGGGAGGGCACACAGTCATACCCGTGGCCACCAGGGCTGTGTGTGTGGCGGAGCTTCTCTGGCTGCGTGTGTCTGGGGGGTTGTAGAGATGGTCGTGTCTGGGGCCCAGTGTGCGAGGGTGTTTGGAGCAGGCTAAACCTTCATCCCGCTGTGCACTTCCAGACCTACATCCCACTCTCCTTTGCCACCAAAGCTTGGGCTGCATCCCAGCTTTAGGGCGGCCTTTGCGGTATGTCCGGCCTGTTCTTGCTGCTTCTACAACTCGGCCCCCAGCCCTGTGTCAGCCCATAGGTTCAGCTCAGGCCCTGCCCTCAGGACAAGCCGGACTCCTCTTGGCCCGTGCTACGTGCCTGATGCTGAGCCAGCCAGAGGCTGGAGCCACCTGAGTCCAGGCTTTCTTCTGCCTTGGGCCTGGGGAAGACACCAAAACATGCTCTTACGGTCATTTAGAACCAAGCTATGAGGGTGGGGAACACGGGGTGTCCCTGCGTTCCAGAAAGGCCAGAGTTTATGACACACCCCTCTCTGTGTTGTCACTGAGAGCAGCACACACACCCTGTTCTATGTGGGGCTGGCCAACCCCTGGCCCAGGGGGTCTGCAGATGTTTAGGGCTTTATTCAGCAGCCCACCCTGGGGGTTTGTTTTGCTCCCTTACCTCCCATGTTCCTGAATGTTAGAGAGGTCCTGGGTGAGAAAACGCTAAATTCCCAAACATCTGATCAGCCCATGTACCAGGCCTGGAGCCTCCTTGGACTCCCCTGGATCAGGCCCTTCCTGACGCCCCAGCAGTTACTGCCTCTGGCTGGACCTGACCCCTCAGCAGAGGCCACTGGACTGCACCCTGGTGCCAGGCTGGGTCTGGCTTTGCTCCCTTTCTAGTTTCTGTGGAGCTGGTCCTTCTTTCTGCTTTGTTCCCAAGCAACTGATAAGACAACTTTGGCCGAGGGAGCCTTTTCTCAGAGGACGGAGGCCATGAAGGATGGGAGAGTGGGATGGCCCAAGCAGAGGGCTAGACATGCTTAGCTCCTTTAATCTACAGCTTCCAGGGCCAGCGTGCCCTGCCTGAATGACCCAAGACTCCCTTGTCCCCCTCCTCAAGCCCCTGTACCTTTTCAGGGAACCCCCAACTGTGTTCCATGACCCTCAAACCCAGGATATCGACAAAAGCCAGAGCCAACCCCAGTGCCAGCCCGATTCCCAAGCAGGCCCACCCCGCACCAGCTGCAGTAGATGAGAAAAAAGCCTGGCCCATGAATCTGGGTGAATGAGGAGGTCACAGGGCAGAGAGCAGAGCCCGGAAAGAAAGAGCAGTGTTAGCGAGAGACAGGCGGTCGCTGCGAGGGAGGAGAAGCCAGCTCCCGCAGTCACCTCGGCTGTGCTGCCTGTTGACCATCCCGCCCAGGGTCCACCGGCGATCCAGACGCCGCAGATGGGCCTTGCGTCTCTTGGACACTGGTGTGGGAGATGGCGATGGAGCATGCGGCCAACAGCAACCGGCGGAGAGAATGGAGATGAGCATGAGATGGGATGGGATGGGGGCAGGAGGAAGGGGCACAGGGAGGGGAGGCCCGCACTTCCAGGTCACCATCACCTGGACTGAACCAGAGGGCACGCCCCTGTTGGATCGGGGCAGATATGACAGGTGATTGTAGGCACATGGGGAAAAATTCAACCAAAGCCAAACTCCCCAGTGTGTGCCCCTGAGCCTAGAAGTGGGCTAAAGCCTTTATAATCCCAGCCCCCTAGAGACAAAGACGTCCCTAGCTCCAGCCCAGTGCAAGGCAGCCCCTCAGCTGCAGCCTCTGGGGATGGTGAGATCTGCGTCCCTCACTGCTGGACGGTGCCAATTCCCAGGAGGGCTAGGGGCGCTGCAACATCTGTGCTTATGTCCACTAGCTCACTGAGGACTGACTGTGAACACGCTACCCTGGACAGGCACCATGATGCATGGAAGAAGCAGTGTGCCCAAGACAGACCTGGATCCCTTCCTCGCGGGGCTGACAGCTCTCACCACTCTTGGTTTGCATCTTTGCTTTCTTGCCTGTCCCCACTGGATGAGTCTGTTGAGGGCAAGAGCTTTGCCCCATGTCTCGGCATTCCCAGGGTCTAGCACATGGCCGGGTCCCAGGAAGTGCCTGCTGAACAGAATGACACGAGGGTGGGTGCCACAGGCCCCAGCTCTGCTCCTCCTCTCAGGCCACCCACTAGGACATCTGACGACAGGGGCTCCCTCCCCAGCTTCTCACTGCTCCTGACCCCGTGCCTGGGGCAGCATCCTGCACTGCTACCCTGGTGGCTGCTGCTGTGCTCCACGCCCCCTGCACCCTCTGCTCAGACCCCAGCTACGGATGCCTCTGTCTTCCTGTGGGACTCCCAGTGGAATGGACACTGGGCCAGGGCTCCAGGGTGCCAACTGGCCTCATTTCCTGGCACCACAGAAAGAGGGTACCAGGCCGCCCAGCCAGTGGCTGGAGTGAAAATAAAACTGTCCCAGACCCACCAAGGCCCTGGGAAAGCATTTGCTTTCCTGGAAGGAGAGGGACCTGTCTGACCTGCTCTCATAAGGAGGAGGGCTGGAGGGCTTGACAAAAGGCTAGGAGGTATGGATTCCAGTCCAGGCCCGACTGCCAGCAACCTGTGTCACTGGGAGGGCGGCCATCCCTCCCTAAGCCTTTCCTCAACTGTCTTAGAGTGACACCACCTGCCCTGGCGTGAGCCTAGACGAGGGGCTGAAAGGGCTCTGGGGAACATTAATCAGGTCCTGTGCAAGGCCTCCTGGCAGGGAGGGGGGAGGGGGAACAGGTGTGTAGGGCTTCTCTGGAGAGATGGAGGGGTTTGGCTAATGTCCAGATCAGGGGCTGCTTTCACAGTAAGTGGCGTTTACTCTGTGTGCCAGGCCCAGTTTAAACCCAGTACAAAGATCATCTCACTTGGTCCTCACAAAAGCCCTATGTGGTTGGCATCTTACAAATGGGGAAACAGAGGCACAGGGCTTTAAGGAACACTCTGGATCTCATGTCTGTGTATCCAGGCAGCATGTGAATCCAGGCAGCCTGGTTCCATAGCCCAAACTCTTACCATAGACTCTATACCCCGAGCTATTGCTCTTCCCCTAACTCTGCTGCCCCTTGAGCTGCCAAGCCCTGGGAAGAGGGGGATGTGGGGAGGGGGCAGGGTCTGGATGCTGGGGAATCTGCTCACTAGCAGGGCACATGCCCTTGGTGCAGGAGCACAGAAGACCACCCTGGAGGAAGCAGGTCCGCACTGGTAGGTGTGGGACATAGGAGCAAAGGCAGAGACATGGGTTCTGGTCTTGGCTCTGTCACAAACGAATCTAAGGGCTTGGCAGAGGTGACACACCTCTCCTGGTGCACTGAACCACCTTGCAAATGTCAGGCTTGGACCCGCACCTCTGTCGGTGGACGAGAGTCTCAACTCCCACCCTTGCTACTAACGTACTAAACTCCCACAGCACACCTGGCTTCAAGAGCAGCATGAACATGCGCCAGAGGGTCTCATGGTAAGGACAAACAGGAACAGCTACTCATGTTTTCTTCCCAAAGTAATGAAGCATGAGCTATTAGGAAAGCTTTGATAGGATGCAAGCTTCCAATTTCTATCCACAGGGCTCAGGGCACCTATGATGGGATGGCCACAGTGCCAGGGTAGATAGAGATGGTCGGAGAGGGAACTAGGGTGGCCATTCTCTTGGCCATGTGGCTGCAGGTGCAGAGAGACTGGTGGACACACCACAGCAGCTGGGGTCTTAGGCCCAGGGGACCCATCCCCAAGCCCTTCTGTAGATCTGAGTGGGAAATACCCAAGACATGATGGTGGAATCCACAGCTATCCAGAAGAGTTGCCAGGAGTGCTGGCACACGGGCTGGGTCAGAGACACGCAGAGGAACCTATTTTAGGAGAATCACTCTGGGCGTGCGTACACGCACGTGCACATACACACACACACCCCCTCTGAACACAGAACCTGCCCAGCTGCCTGATTCTTCCTCCATCAAGGTAAAAATCCTGCACAACCCACTACTACTTGTTCTGCGCAAGGCACCTGCCCTCTGTTCCATCCAGGCTGGCAGCTGTGCTCCCTGCTTCTCAAGCGCTTTCCTGCCCTGGACTGCTGGCCACTCGTTGCCTAGGTCCTCCATAATTGACCCAACAGCTCCACTCTGACCTTGCTGGTGCAGCCTTTTCAACTGGGGCTGTGATTCATACACGCACTGCCCTAGAGCTGCCTGTACTGTTACAATCAAAATGCTTACAGGGAGGCATGTGGCACAGCGGTGAGGACCACGGGACAAAGGAAGCGGACTAGGGTCCAAACCTGATAAACATCTTGAAGCCTCAGTTCCCACAGCTGGAAGGATGGGGACAATCATAGCCACAGGGTCCTCCCAGGGTGGGGGCAAGGGCATTTCAGGACCTGGCCTAGCACCTGCTACCTTTGGTACTTTGTGAGCCCCTGCTGTTTGTGAGAGGCCCTGGCATGCCCTGTAGTATGTAGAACTAGGGGCCAGGCACCGTGGCTCACACCTGTAATCCCAGCACTTTGGGAGGCTGAGGTGGGCAGATTGCTTGGGGTCAGGAGTTCAAGACCACCCTGACCAACATGGTGACACCCTCATTTTTACTAAAAACAAAAATTAGCCAGGCGTGGTGGTGGGTGCCTGTAATCCCAGCTACTCGGGAGGCTGAGGCATGAGAATTGCTTGAGCCCAGGACGTGGAGGTTGCAGCGAGCTGACATTGTGCTACTGCACTTCAGCCTGGGTGACAGAGCAAGACTCTGTCTCAACAGCAATAACAACAAAAAGAATGTGGAATTAGGTAGGAGGTGAGGCTGGGGACTGCAGGCATATGAGACCAGACCTAGCTCAGGGGCCAAGATCCTCCCCTGCTTCAGAGATGCAATGGAGCCAGAGGGGAGACGGGTTCAGGCTTGGCCCCAGGGCTCAGGGAGCAGCCCAGCCTGAACATGCAGGCCCTTCCCAATGGGGCCTCATCCCTGGAAACCTGCCACACAGTGGATGCACAAGGCAGGGGCCAAGGCTCTGGTCAAGGGGCTGAAATAAAGCCTCGACATAGGAGGAAGGGCGAGGCCCCAACCGCCCACCTAGTAACCGACATTTAGGGGAAGGAGCTGGCACTTGGTGGCTGCTTACTTTGGCCTGGCAGCAGGGAGCAGGCGTGGAGGTGGCCTGAGCACCGGGTGGCAACCTCGATCCCTCTGGCTTTCAGACACATCCATCTGGACCATCCCCACCGACCATTAGGGAAAGAATTCCTGCAGCCAGGCCATGGGAGGTGTGGAAGCCATTGGGAGCAGGCAGCCAGGAGCTGGGGGTGGTGCAAACGGACCGGCTCAGGCAGCCTACTCTGGAGAGCACAGAAGCTATAGACAGGCCCAGGCCAGTGCTGGCTCAGGGGGCGGGGCAGGCTCTTTGAAATGCACGGGGAAAGACCTTGAAAAACCTCATGGAGTCATTTTTTAAGTGTTTAGAATTAAAAAAAAAAAAAAAAAAAAAAAAAAAAAGAAAAAAAGAGGAAGGGCTGAGTGCAGTGGCTCACACCTGTAATCCCAGCATTGTGGGAGGCCGAGGCATGTGGATAGCTTAAATCCAGGAGTTTGAGAGCAGCCTGGCCAACATGATGAAAGTCTGTCTCTAAAAACAAAAACAAAAACAAAAACAAAAACAAAAACAAACAAACCTCACAGAGCTAAAGCTAATTAGAGAGGCTGACTGTGTGGGGGTCTGAGCCATCCCTCAGTTCTTGAGCACCTGAGACAGAGCGGCAGGGGTTGGACTGGGGTGGGAGGTCAGCTTCTGGGCCAGTCTTACTGAGATGGGATCCAAGGGAAGAGGCTAGGATATGGCTCATCTCACTTTAGGGTTCTGCTGGTTCTAGGGGAAGAGTGGGAGAGCTGCCTCCAGAGGCCACCTTGTTCCCCGCCCCTTGGACCTGCAAGCCCTCACCTTCTCCAGTCTTGGAGGGATTGATGTCGGAGTCATCCCGAGTACCATTCTGGGCCTCCAGGTAGGTGGCAGGGACCCAGCCCTGCTCCTCAGAGGTGCTCACGAACCACCAGCCTGCAGGGAGGAGAAGAAAGAACGGGGCTGTGAGAGACTGCAGGGTGGCAAGGGCGGCTCGGGGGCCAGGACAAGGAGGGAAGGAGAGGCATGACAGGCAGAGCATGAGCCGGACGGCCTGGGCACCCAGCAAATGCCTGGCCCAGCTCCAGCCTTGAGGAGCCTGAGTCTGTTCTAAGGCAGAAAAGACCGGCACACTCCCTAAGAAGTGGGACCAATAAACCGCGACCCACACGAACAAATGCTGGATTGAAAATGAAATAGACATAATGTTATGTCCAATGTGTGAAACTCCATCTTGCAGGAAAGGCCAAGGGGGTTTCGGCCATACAGAGAGACCATTTATGGTCTTTCAAGCCCATTAGGACGACTGGTTTGCCTGGAGTTTGGCTGGCTTCTCAGCTTTCAAAGGCACCCACGCCAAGTGCCTCACAGCCTCCGACAGTCAACGTTGCCTTTTCCATCACGGGTCAGTGGTACCTTCGCATTGGTGCTACTCACAGCTACCCCTTACGTGTGCTGACACTTCAGTCGCAGTAAATGGGCACTGCATCCTCACATGATCCTTGATGATCATGGCCACATGATAAAGGCTCATTCTTCTTATTTGTTTATTCATACAAAGTACTCTGAGCACCCATGTCTTGCGACTCCACTAACTACCTTCGGTTCCTTCCAAGAAGGTCCTCCTCACAGGTTCCTGTCTTCCTCCTCAGCCCTTCTTCTCTGACACTTCTTTGCCCCCCAAAAGTAATTTGGTACAGACTCTCTTTTCTGCTCAGGGCCCAGCTCGACATTTCCTGTCTGGAGAACCCAGGGCTTCTCCCTGGGCAGCACCTGAGGCCCCATCACTGTCCACTGCAGTGAGTGGCCACCCAAGGATGTGGGCGGAGGCATGCTGATTGGGGAGCCTCTCAGGCACGCCCAGGCGGGCTCAGCACTGGGAGGTGGAGGAGGCTCCTGATGGCTGCTGTGAAGACAGTGGAGAGGAGGGGAACCGCCAGGTACCACTACACAGTCATGACACAGTCATGGGGAGAATCAGGGACTCAGAACCCCAGCTTATCTCCTAGGTCTTCACCTAGGTCCTCACTGCCCTATACGACACGTCTGGGCTTGCAAACAGCCAGTAGTCTAGTCCTGAATGCCCTCTGTCCCCTGCCCTTTCTGGGGAGTTCCACAACCCTCTGCGTGCAGCTCTGCAAAGCCCATGAAATGCCCTCGACCAGGAGTCTGGACTCTTGAGGTCGGTCCAGGCCTGTGTGGCTCAGGGGCCTTGGCTGGGTCACTGCCCTTTTAGGGTCTCGGTGTCCTCTTATCTGGAGAGGGGTTATCTCTCAGCTACTGGCTCAAGTACCATGATCCAGGGCCCTGCAGGCAGCCCGGCACAGACTGTAGACTGTGTCCCTCTCTGCCTGGGGTGAGAGGAGAGAAGTAACAGGATCACTTCCGGAGAGTCCCCGGTCAGGCTCTCTGCTCCCTCTGCCCATCTTGCTCCACTAGGCTCTGCCAACCCTGGAGACCACAGCCTTTTCCTATGACACAATCCATACACACCTGGAAAAAGGCAGCCTGGGCCAGTGAGTCACAAACCATCAGTCAGGAAGAGCTGGGGATGTGCCCCCACTGCAGGTGAAGTGAAGCCACTGGCCCGATTCCTCTACCTTCCGCTCTTGCTCCAACCCCTGTGTCTCCCACATTGCTCACTTCTCAGACTGTCCGTTCCTGGGCCACCTACTGCCAGGTACACAGGTGAATGAGACACTGTGGCATGAGGGACTGCAGAGCCTTGATTGGACCTAGGCAGGCTGGCCTCTAACCTGATACTCTGCTGCCTATGCAGGACCAGGTTAGGCAGACAATCTCCAGCCATGAGAAGCCCCCACCAATTCTCAGGTAAACTCTACTCCTGGGCCCTGAGACCTCCTGCACTGGGGACATCGTTCTGAGGCTGGAAGAGGGCAGGTGGGCATCCTTGGCATGCTGGATAGTTCTCTGGATCACAAAAAAAGGTAGATACCTCTTGGGAGAGAACAGCTGAAGTCACTGAGCAGCCCGTGGTGACAGGCAGGTGCTGGAACCCACTGGCTGGGGACAGGGCAGCATCCACTGGCAGGTCAGAGACCTGCGGACACACCACTAGTACTCACTGTCATTCCCCGGCCTCTAGGACAGGGAGTGGTTATTAGAGCACCAGCCATCTGTACTCAGATGAGACTGCTTCCAGGTGGCTTGTAATTATGGGAACTCAGGAAGGGTCCAGACCATGCTTGGGGCATGAAGTAAGTGCCCTTGAGAGCTAGCTACAGTGGGCAATGGATGCCCACACTGGGGCCAAGGTCAGCCTGGAGGAGGTGGTCTTTGGCACCTAGGGAGCCCCCACCTGACCTCTACTTGCATCTTGGGTGTTCTGACATTTGGATCAACAAGAGGTGCCATTCCTTCCACATTCAGCTATTGGGAGGAAAGCCAGTAGGACCCATTCGTTGACGTGGTGGAAGGGGTTTCACTGTCTACTTCCCTTGACCAAGGAGAAGCCCAACCCCCACTAGCTAGTCAGGGTGTCCCAGGGCCCTGTCTCCATGAGAATGCCCAACAAGCTTTCCCTGAGGGCCTAGGCCTGTCCATTTTGGGAGGGGAGGGGAAGAACAGCGATGGATGCAGGGAGCACTCAGCTGCCCCCTGGCCCTGGGCCTGGAGTGGATACCTGCCTTTGTTCTCTCTGCCCGATTCAGGTTGGGAAAATACTACAGAGGCTTGCATGTCAATCCCCCTGCCTTGTGCCTGAAGGGGACTAGGGGCCACCCTCATCTTGCCCATAGCCACTTGCACATTCTGAACCCAGCATGGGGCACTGAGAGGGCTGCCTAGAGCAGCACCACCATCCTCCCTGATAACCAGGCCACCATGGTTTGCTTGCTCAGAAGCTGTGGCTGATGGAGGCCCCAAAGCAGCCAGAGGGCATGGACTTTGCAAAGGGCTCTGCCTGGCATCATTCCCCCTTCTTGAGCCTTTGTGGGAGCACTCTTAGGAACCCCAGTAGCCTATGCCAGGAAGCACCAGTCCCAGCTGTTCTCCTACAGAACCTGGCTGGAGGTCACAGAGCAGGGCTTTCCCGTCTCACTGGGCTGCATGTCATGTGACTGCCTCCTCTACCACAGAAATAGGCACTTCTGGCCACTCATCTCCTGATTAGTCTGTCCTCTCTCTGGACACTGTTGATGGTTCCAATCAAAGCCACCCAGGTTTTTTTTTAAAGGAACAGATGTGGGTTTGATTATCTGAATCCTGAGTCCCACAAAACCCAGGAATTTCTGGGGGCACATGGGGTGAGATGGCCTGAGAATTAAGGTAATAAAGCAGCAGCAAAGTCAAGAGATGGAGAGCAAGAAGCACTGACTTGTGCCCGTAATGTCAGCTGCTCAGGAGACTAAGGTGGGAGGGTCACGTGAGGCTGGTTCAGCCTGGACAACATAGCAAGACCCCCACCCGCTTCTCTTAAAAAAAAAAAAGAAAGAAAATGATTTAAAAAAAGAGATGGGGGCCGGGCGCGGTGGCTCAAGCCTGTAATCCCAGCACTTTGGGAGGCCGAGGCGGGTGGATCACGAGGTCAAGAGATC